TTTTGACCTGGGAACTGAGTTAACTGAATACGAGTGTCAGAGTGTGTCAAACCATGTTTCTAAGGGCGCTTCATGTGCAGGGGGGCCACCAGTGGTGGATGGCCACCGAAGAGGCCACTGGTGAGGGCTGTAAACGCAGAGTTACGGCAGCTGCGCTGTCGCAGGAGAGTTTGAACATTTGCCAACATTTCAAGTACTGTTGCCGACTCAACCGCCTTGCGTTTCCCTCATTCCTTTCCTTGTGGATTACGGCACTGGATGAACCTGTGACTAAATGTGCGCGTGTCTCTCAGGTTGTGCCAAGCAAATACCCGCACACTGCACGTCCCCAGTGACCCTTCAGACCTGTTTGCCCCGTTTGCGCAGCGGAGCTTCGGTTCCGGCGGGAACCGCGGTGGTTCGCGGTGGACCGAGGTTCATTCGGAAAGCCAATCAAGCACAAGGCGCTTCCAATATCAGAGTGAACCAGGTTTGAAGCTGGCCAATAGCAGCGCCAATTCCAAGCCAACTTAACTGTTCTTTTTTGCATGGTGCACGTTGGCTTGATTGCCATCCGACATGCCAAAACTAAGGATGTTTGAATGGTTTGATGCTACTTTTTATAGGGTGATGGAACTACGTCATGAGCATTGCCACTGATGAGGACCTTATAAGGAGTCCGGGAGTGAGTCCGGGATAGCAAAAAATATACATATATACATTAAGTAATATTATATACATCAATATACCTTTTTTTACCGAAGAATTGAGGAGCTATGGAGTCTAGAGGGGGATGCAGCTAGTTCCCTACTTTGTTTTAGTCTAGTTGCACCCCCCGTCCCGTCCTCCCCTTTTTGTGCGCTCCACCCTTTGCCCTGTGCCGAACACCACCGTGAACACCACCGTCTTCAGACCACGCTCACGAATTGGACCGACCACGCGAGAACGCACCCCGGCAAGAATCCACGAACATCCACCGGACCCAGAAAAATAGTTAGTTTATATAATGTAACAATATATGTTTTTCCTTCAGAACTGCATCAGTTTGCACACTTGGGGAAATCCCTGCAACTGGGTGAAGATTCTGGATTGTTGCCGGCTTGCGACACCAGCAAATCCAAGGCTTTCGGATACTGTAGGTGACTGGAGAGTTCTTGCGCTTCGCACATGGTCAATTCGTCAGAGGGCAGGACCATCCTTTGTTGTGTCCGACTACCCGGCCGGGATCTGAAGTATTTATTTGGAGGGCACTTGAAACGGATGGATCCGGTCATTGGCCAACTTGCATTTCACCTATTTCACCCGTGACCCAGACTGCTAAGAGATGTTCTGAGCACACTCTCCAAGTTGGCTTGGCCACCCCAAAACATATAGCGTAATACTCCCATTCTACGCGGCCGCCCTCGCTCCGTGCGCCTTTGCAGATCCCGATGCCATGGAGCAAATCGTGACCAGCACCACTCCGGCCACGTCCGAGTGCCCGGCGCACGCTCGCGCGACATGGAGTAAGGGGTTGGGTCAACCAGCAGCGGAATTTGTTTTCTTGGACAGGTCCTTTTGAGAATGTGTGCGTTTGGGGGCGGCCATTTGCCCCCGCACTTTGTGCATCTAGGTCGTTTTGCATTGGAACCATGCTATTTTTCTGCTTCTTCAAAAATCCTCAACCGCAAAAGTGTTTGGTTCGGGTCAGGAACCATGCCACACTGAGGGGTTGGTCATGGTTGGTCCGGCGTTTCGGTGGAAAGGGATTGTCCAGATTTTTGGATCGGCTGAGTCGTGTAAACACAATCACCCCAACACTACCCAGTTCTTGGCTGCCAGGTCTAGCATGGTCTAGCATGCTTCAGCCCCCTAACTGATGCATCTCCAGTTTGTAGAGGATTAGTAGTAGTGACCCTTTTTTTGTCCACCTTCCCCAATGCTGTCAGTCTAGACGACGACCCTCACCGGTCCTCGTGCATCTTTTGAGGGCCAATTCGCACGCCTTCGCACGCCCGCAACGCGTCGCCCGCCGCCGTCGTCAGCGCCCGCAGCGAGGCTCTTCGTGCGGAGGGGCGATCAGATGATCCGAAGAGGGGCAAGGCGAAGCGCGCACCGGTGCACGTGGGGTTCAGCGACGTGGGGTTCAGCGACTCAGCGACGTGGGGTTCAGCGACTCAGCGCGTCGGGTTCAGCGACGTAGCGGCGTGGGGTGGTTCACGGTGTTCCGCGCGGTTCGTAGTCGTGCGTCGTGTGGTAGAAAAAGGGATGATCATATGGCTTTGAACCGGGGATCGGCCGTGGTATGGAACCAGGGATTCCTTTTGGCCTAATTATGGTTTTGAATTCATTTGGATCCGAAGGCTCAGACATGCTCAGGCTCCGACCATGACATGAAGGTCTGTAGATCACGGCTTTGAGGAGTGCCCATTCTAATTGTTTGTTTTCGCAGCGGGTTCTGCATGTGAAGCAGCCTTTGAGGAATGCCTATCGCCTGGTAGGATTCCGGTAGGCATGGTCGATGACTTTCGGAATAGGGACCTTTTGTCTATAAGTTCCGAGACACCTGGAAACCCAAACCAGAAGCGACATTGAGGGACTCTATCTGTTCATCACTGTTCGTGTTTAGTGGCGTGCTTAGTTCGCGCAAGCAAAACTTTTGGTGTGCGCAAGGAAACTTACGTCAGCTTTTTGAGGGAGAAAGGAGTTGCGTAGTGACTGCGGTGTGGTGCTAAAATTCATTGGCGTAAGTGTTGCGTATAAGCTGCCATTGTGCTTGCATAGGTTTGCCAAGCTGTTGAAAGCCTCTCACTGTTTTCCCAAACAGCCAAACAGCCACTTTGTACTGTAGAGGATCTATGAGGATCTGCATGACATTGCATGACCAGAATGGCAACACCATTGATTTCTGGTTTGGTTTGTTTCCATCTCGTGATCTCCTTCGCTTGTGCCAGGTAGTGGGGACTGCCAGGTTGGTCGGGGATCTTGGAACAAGCACCGCCGCCGGCAGCAGCAGGGAGGTCTCTCCACCCTGATCTGTGTAGTGTAGTGGTACCACGTGATGCCGATCACAGCCGCTACAGTGGACCATCTGAAAAACCGAGAACAAAACAAAGAAATACCAGGGGCCCCCCAAAAAAAACATCAAAGACCGGGTTCTTTCCACAACACAGAACATGGTTCTCCTATGTTAAAACCTGTTCTTTTTAAAGTGGGTTTCAGGGCCGTTGGTGCTTGGGGAGGGGAGTTGGGAGTTCAGGTGGACACCCCAAGATGAACAGCTCGAGAGTTCGCTCGCTCCGGAACCTCTCCAATCCCAAAGGCGGACTGGCGACGGCGTAGGACTGGAAGTCGACAACAGAGTGGGAATCGATGGAAACTGCTGAACAACATGAAGCAGCAGCTTGCATGCAACCGTGAAGTCCACGCATGAAGGAGTGATATCAAAGCCAGTGTATCAGGTGAAGGGTTCTCATGTACTTCTATCTTGATGAAGGCACACATGAGGCAGGAGGGATATTTGTTGAACTGAAGGGGTGCCCCAGTCAGCTTTTTCTCCAGATGTGCAGTCTGGAGTCCAGAATTGCAATCAAGAGTGGATAACCTTTAGCTCTTTTTTGGGGAGTGGTTCCCCACTAAACAAGAAAGGGTTACTTGATTTTTCAGGGAAACGGCTCAGCAGTCCGTACCACCTTTCGCGCTTCCCCGCATCGGTATTTTTAAAGATGGTTTCCCTGGATCATTCCGATGGAAGCCTGGGGAAGACCGCTTTTTTGAACCGACCATTGACCCGACTTCACAGGTGCTTCCTGTGTTTCCAAGTCCGGTGCCCAGGTTCACCACCTGTGGTCGGGTCTCCAAACAGCCTGGCCAGGAGGGTCCTGGTATAAGGATATGAAATAATTAGTTTAATTATCCCTCTTCCACGCATTCTTTGGGCTTCCACCTTCCGCACCATTTTCAGAAACCGGACACTCCATGTTCCAACCCGTGGTGATTCACCGCCTTGGACCGCCGGAGTCCGCGGAGTCAGCCATGGCGAGTCCCAGTCCAGAGCCTCTCGTGACCGTGCAGATGTGCAGTCCCAGTGGCGAGGCGCACCGAACCGAACCGACCGGACCGATCGCGCGAGAGCGTCCGCTGAATCCAACGGAAGACTGCGGAACAGACGGACGGAAGACGGTGGGAGCGCCGTCCGAACGGGCGTTTTCGGGAGCGCCGTCCGAAGGGTCTTTCTATCTTCTTTTGGGAGTGGAAGAGGCGTTGTCATTGTCCGTCTTGACAGTTGTGTTGCAGGGAAACGCCTTGGAATTCCTTATCTAGATCTTATATCCATGTGCATGGGTCACAATGCAAGATTAAACAATAAATGAGCATGTGGATAGGAACCAACTCTGTTTCCAATGAACATCTCACAGGTCAGTTGATGACTTTGGCACCACTTGGAGCGATGTTCCCATTGCAGTTGTAAATGGGTGCAGTAACACCAGGTCAATGACATGCTTGGCCAACGACCCCGTATTGGCCAATTCATCCGACGTTTCGAAGTGACGGACGAACTCTTTCACCGCGAAAACCCGTGGGTTCGACACCGCCAGGTGCTGGCCGCTGAGAATCTCCCAGTCGCTTCGATCGAGAAGACCGGCACCAAACACGACCGAGTCGGACCGAGTCCAGAGTCCAGAGTCCTGACCCGCGGGTCGGATTTCGGATGTCCGGCCATTGTTTCGGAAGCGAAGCGCAGGGACGTCCAAGGTTTCAGATGGTCACTTAGGTTCTAGGTATGAACATCAGCACACCCACTGAGGAGGTTCAAAAGATCAGAATACGCTTCCCATGCATGCGTTTGGGAGGGGCCGTGCAAAGATGGATACCAAGAATGTATGAGGAATCCACATCAGAACCACGTCAGATAGTTGGAGTGGATGCGTTCGAGACGTTACAATACCAGATGCCAACATCCACATGGGCCGGTCAAAACAACCCCCCTGATCGAGGGCAAAAATCGTCAGGAGATGCCGGATGCAGTGTTTAAGGGTTGAGCTGACGACCCCCAGTGGATGCCAGTTAGCCAGCACATCAGGAAGCAAGGTTTCGGTCGGTCTCCGAATGTCTATGTCATGGGTTCTATATATATATATAGTCAGTATATATGTCAGTATAAGATTCGCTTAACCGTGAGCTCTACGTGCTATAGTGGTAGGATGTTGATGTTCAAGGAAGATGTTTGATGTGCTGCTTCGCGGCAACAAGCTGCCCACTACCAAAGTGAATGGCTTGCAACACCTTTTCGGGGGATTGGTTCAAGCCCACTACCAAAGAAGAGGTGGGCAGTTCGGTTCACTTGTCATCCCCTCCCCCCAGTCATCACCCCCCCTGCTGAGCATGGAGGGGCGGGTCCGTCTGGACCGGGTGACCTACAGCATGACCTACATTCACCAGCCAAAGCCATTCATTCATGTAGGCCATAAACCTCCCAACCACCAAAAACACAAACACCCACCAAATATATCCCGACAAGTCCAAAGACTCAGTAAAACCTGGTCTTTTACCTCCTTGAGTAGTCTTTTTGTATGACCAACTCCAGTAAAATGAGGTAATTGACCTGTAGGGTAAAAATCCCTTCACCTCCAATGTGTATACTGACATTGGCTTATACATCATGTGTACCTCCCCAACCGACCCGTCCAGGTGCAAGGTCCAGCGGCAGAGGCCATCCGCACGGCGCTGGCGGCCGCGAAGAAGCGCGCCAAAGGCCAGACCAAGAGAGGTGGAGTGACCATAAATAGGATCCGTAACCTGGGGTACCGAACTGGCATAGTCTAGTTTGGGTCCTTCAACCTCAGTTGGTTGGGCAATGTCCGGCATGACCTGTTTAACAGGTGGGCAAACAAATATCAGTCACTATTTGATCGTTTGACTGGCAGCGAAGTCGCGGCATACAAGGTACACGCAGTGTAGCGCGTTGAGCAAAGACATGTTTATTTTTAGACTAAGGCTTGCCACCTAACTATCATCATCCACTGTTACTATACAGGTGATAGATGGAATAGGATAGACCCCGAGCGTCTCACTATGTCTCCGGGAAAAAGCGGCACGGCCTGGTTTAACTTGCCGTGCTCGTACCATGTGGGGAACAATGGTGCGAAATCTTTTGGCGATTCCCTCCCACTGGACTTTTTAGACTTAATTAGGATTCGACAGCTTAGAACCGTTGATGACCCTCCCCCAACAATCATGGAAAGGGGCAACTGGTAGACAAAAATTGTCTTCCAAGAGGCCAAAACGTCAACGTAGCTCCCAGCCAAGTATGGTGATCCGCATTTGCTCCACCCACTGAAGCAAGGTTATCAGCCATAGAACCTGAAAATAGACCATGGGAAGAACATGTTCCTCTCCAGGACCATGTTCTATGTTGATGTAGACTGTTGATTGCATCCATTTGTTATAAACCAACCAATTGCATTGGAGTTGCTTCAAGGGAGCTGGGAATTGGGGAAAAAAGAGACCTTCGCAGGAAGGGGACTCACCCAGCTTGAGAAACATGAACGTATCTCCATTTGCCAAACCAAGAGGAGGCAGAGGTTCTACAACCCAGACACTCCATGGGACTGGCATATTTACCCACATTTGGATGGTTGAAAACAATGGAGTGTCTGGCATAGTTTACAACCTCATGTGACTGAGAAAGGTTTTGACGGTTTTCTGCAGTAAGTCAATGCCAAGGTGTGAAAAAACATCTTTCTCGGGGCGCCAGTGTTCTCATACAGGCTTTTCAGACCTATACCTTTCATATGATGTCGCTGAACTACCACACTTAGTGGTGACCATTCGTGTGGTCCGAATTCAATCATATGATGAAATACTCAACACCGCAGCACCTCCCAAGTGACGGAATTTCCCGTCACTTGGACACAAACATGAGAATGACTCCATGACTCCATGACCATCCATGGGGAAAAAACACCAAGAACAAGGGATCCGAGGTCCGGATCCCTTCATTTTTGCTTCTCTTCGTCCGGACCGTCCGGACGCTGGGGACGCGGGTCCCGCGCGGACCGGTGGACCAGGCGCCTTCGTGTTTCTGCTGGGCACCCAAGTCATCGACGACCGCGTCTCCTTGGCGGACCTGGGGCTCGCAGCCAACACCCAAGCGTCCTGGACGGCTGAACGGCTGAACGAAGGAGGGCGTCTGAAGGGTGACGTGAAAGCCATGAGGGGAACAGAAAAGGTGAGAGCATCACTCCAAGAATGAGTGCTGGGTTGTTGATTGTGTCAGTCAGGTGTGACCTCATGACTAGATGATGTGAAAGATTCACGTGGCAGTGACCGAAGAAAAAAAAACAAACTGTGCACCCTGCGAAAGATCACAGGTTTGTGATGTCTCAAACCTGGATGCGAAGGTGGGGGTTTGCTTCAGCTCTTGACCGCCTCTCTTCCGAGGAAGCTTATAATTAATATCTGGACCGCCTGGACCCGATGACTCCGAGCGACCATGACTCCATGACTCGTGACATGACCCTATAAGAAGCACAGGTAGGTACTTTGTATACATTTTGTGAGGTACTTGATGAACTTGATGAGACTCCAGGTAGGCTGTTGATCATGTTTATGTACTAAAACCTCGCGCAGGCGCAGGCCTAGTAAAACCATTCCTTTGAGACGTTGAAATATCATCAACGGTCATCAACCGTCTACCCTTCTAAAAGCAAATAAATCATGAAAGTGGGGGTTCACCACCTGGACCTGTTTGGTATTCGGAAAATGGTCACGTTGGCGACCCATGAGAATGTCCAGACCTCTGACTCCTTGGGGGATTTCGACCGGACACCCCAGATCATCCTTTCTTTAAATTTTGGTGCGGCTATAAATATATAATAGTGGTTTCAGAGTAGATGGCTCAAACCCCAAGATGTTCTTAAGATGGGGTCCATATACCAGTACCATCCAAGCGGTGTCCAATGGACTACCCCACCTATAGGCTTCCATTGGGCACCCCTTGGATGGTCCAGGTATAAACCACCTTTTGGGGATTGAGCCATCCTCTGAAACCACTGTGGTGGGCACTCAGGGTTTCGAGCTCTTCTTCGAGCAGACATTCTGCAAGCAGAAGCGTATACCAGGTGTGTAGAAGAATGATAGTTGTCCTGGAACTTCGTGTTCTACTTGCGTTACTTGAGGGAGGTCCCACCCACCAAGACCTTTTGATAGAAGGCTTTTTGGAATGTGGTATGGTGGGTATGGAGCTCTAAAAGGTCGGTCTAAACAAAGCGTTTGCAGCTTCTGACCCCTGCGTTTGCAGCTTCGGAATGAGGTGGAAGTCACGGTCTTGGACAGCTTACGGCCCTGCTTCGACCCTCAGCTGTGACTTCTTTCGCCGCGGTTCGGTGGACCGAGTCGCTCGGTCGGGAGCCCAGCGAGCGAGCAGGGGAGGACGTTTTCGGCAACCGTGCCCGCCGGCGCCGTGCGTCGTATTTGAACCGGAGTCACCTTAGTGGGGATGTAGTTACCTTGACGGAGGGGAGGGTGGAGGGTGGAGATGGAGAAGTGAGCGACGCGACGCGAAATGGAGCACCAATAGATCTCGGTCTCTACTGGGAGCTTTGATCAACTTCGGATTATTGGGTGGTCAGTTCATCATCATGAAAGAGAAGAGAGGGATCAAGTAGCAGATTCAGTAGCAGACCATGAATGTCCAGTTTTGCAAGATCTTGGGACAATTTGGGGGGCCTGTGGGCTCACTCGCCTGGAGGGCAAGAAGGCCCCAGGCCCTCATCCTAGGCCTTTTGGCTCGCACTGAACCGAAATGGCTTGACCGGTGACAGGGGCACAGAGACCGCGAAAGTGTGGATACCAGCACCTTCAACGGGGTCTCCAATAGACTACCCTACACTGCTTGTGGATCTCCAGCCAGAGCACCCCTACTACAGACCACGAAAGAGTAGGCAGTTCATGATTCATAGCTTACTTGACATAATTCGGCTATACTGCATACTATATATTATGCAAGGAAAGCAGTAAGAAAAGCACCTACTGGATTTCATGTTGTAACAACTTCACTTCATCTTACGGACTCTAGTCTAGAGTGGAACTTGTTCACCCCATCAGCTCTACTCAAGAACCCCCCTGCGAATTTTGAGAAGACTTTAGACTTGATGCCTCAACCGAAAACACCTTCAACACATCCCTAGGGCTCCAAGTACCTTCTGAGAAGGTGTTTAGGGTGGGTTGGAAGGGTCCAAATACCTTCTGAGGAGGTACTTGAAGCCCTATGGCAGTGAGAACGTGCCACACTTGGCGCAACTGCGCGTCCTGAAAGAGTCTTTGCACTCTCCCCAACTACACGCCGGAGTTGAGGTTTTCCGACCTTTTCTATGGCCGTGCCAGATCATTCACAGTGCTAACCCGACGCCTCCCACAGAAATCACTCCAACCACCTGGACACCAATTTCACTCTCTCGTCCTGGGTCCGAAAGGTCCGAAAGGCCGCTGGGTTTCGGGCGGAGCCAGGGGCTACAGGATGTGAGATCAGCCGAACGAGGGTGAATGTGCCTCTCACAAAGGACGTGGTAGGTCTACCACGTCACCAGGGAGTCCGGGAGACTCACATGTCTCCAACTGGAAACTCTGCTTGTCAACATCGATTTCTTGCAGAATAGGCGGTTTCTTGAGCTTGCAGCTTGCACCTCAAACTATACTTCTCTCAACTTCTTATTCCAAACTGCGGACGTCGGTGGAACCGTGTCCTTTCTTCGACCCGAGACGCAGACGCGTCTCGTCTCGCCGACCGTCCGCGTCTCCCCGCGATCTGCGTCGCTGAGAGACGGAGATCGTCGCGACCATTGTTACTAGCTTCTTGTTACTACATCACTACTTAGTAAGGCACTTGTTACTAGAAGCGATGCACTTGTTACTACTAAGGAGTGGGGCTTCTATGCCTCTGACGGTCGCAACTCCATCGATGCCTCCGAGCGCCGCCCGGGCGACGTGTGGTGAGGGAAGTGGTGGTCTGGGGGAGAAAAGACCTACGGCGCTCGGGGAGCGCGTCAGACCAGCGGTGGCGCCACAAAGGGACCTCATTTTTGGGAGGTTTGCTATGTCACCATGAGGATCCACATACCCTCTCAGAAGGCGATTGGACCCTCCAAGCATACATAAAAGAGTCTCCGATCACCATCTCAGAGGGCATGTGGATCCCTAGAGACAATGGAGTATATTAATGCGATTAATGAGTGTTTCTCACATGAGAAATTCATATCTCGTGTTCTCTCACGTGAGAAAACTCTCCCTTACTTATTCCCGTGACCCTTTTACAGTCAGAGGCTTTTCGGTGGAAACTCTTTGGGATCTCAGGGCTCGCTGGGCAGTCTTTCAGCCAGCTGCTTTGCATGGAACATGATCCAGCTGCTTCCGTTCGGGGCCACCGGATATCTCCACACGTTACAGGTCTCCAGGGCACCCCAGCGCATCCAGATGGGAACCATGTTCATCACACGGCCTCGACGGGTCGAAGGGATGCGTGGAAAAAGGCGAGCCCAAAACGGGTGCGAAGTTGGATGGTTTCCCTGACCTGGGAGCCCAAAACCATGGTTTAGGGGGGGCAAAAACAGACGTTGTAGCCAAGGGAAAGATATGGGAAGATGGTAGTTTGGGATGGTCTATGTAAATTTCACTTAGAACTGGGGAGGTTTCTGAAGCAAATTGGCTGTTCTTGATTGAGCCGGCCTTGGGATCCCCCTTCCCTTCAAAATCGACTTTCTGGTTCTGGACATTTGGAGATGGATCAATTCCGCCTCCACACCAGCTCGCCTCCGCGCTCCTCCGCGGCCCGAGGAATCTTCACGCGCGGCGACCTGGCGCACCACACGGATGGCGTGCGCGCCAAAGCGCCGCTGCCGCGCGACGCGCGGTGCTACGTGACCTTTCGGAGCGGGCGGGGCAGAAGGAGGCGGAAGGAAGGTGGGTGGAGTCTAAGGGGTCCATGAAGACACACCAGGTCAATAGCAGGTCATATGGAAGAGTGAATGATGAATTACATTACATATTGGTTACTTACATACTAGGCAACTTATATGTTGGTTATACTTAGGCTACTGATGATTTAGTGTATTGAGATTTTAGGGTATTTTAGGGTCATCAATGGGGCAAATGTTTTTGTACTGTTGGTATTCCACATCCAGTGGTGTCAGAGGTTCGATGGCGGCACCCCAAGATGTAGCCATCTCCTAATCTGCCCCCTCGAGTGGAAGACATTTATCGTTTGTTTTTTTGTGAGGGATTTGGCTCTTTCCACGAACCCAGAAAGAGGTGGAAACAGGTTTAAGTCTTTTTCTCCAAGGGAAACTGAGGGAGTGAGTTACGGTATGTTTTTGTTCTTTGGGGGGGGTGGGGGAAGTTGAATTGTCCTTCAAGGTCCTTTTAAGAGTTGTTGCGCTTGGTGGTTTCCAAATGTGTGATGATCAATCCATATTTGTACCAATCCCAATGGCCCTGACTAACATATTTATATACATCTTGGTGGGGTAAAACCCTCAACCAGGTTTTTGGTTGCTTATACGTTCTGGAGGAGGGTGAGACTATGATGCCAAGAAGAATGCTTTGCATTGAATTTGTTTTTTCCTCGACTAGCTCAGAGGACACATGGGCTCCGCACGTGCTCGCTTATGAAATCAAAATCGGTTTCACTTATAAAATGGCCTGAGTCACGAAGTGGGTCTGAAATAGTGGCAGCAAAAGGATCAATTTAACTTTTAATGTGAATTACTCATTTTATAGAATAAACTACAAACAGAACGCAATGATACATCACCACCATTCATTTATAGCCACAATTCCTTTAGAACATGACAAATGCTACAATGGCACTAGAAAGGAGAATCAAAGAAAGGCACATGACGTTCTGGTGAAAGTGCTTCGTGTTTGCCATCATCAGTCTTGTAAGGTTCGTCGCGACATTTGGTTGTCCTGTTTCAATAGCAGACTTTGTTTCATTTCCTAGGATTCAAACCCCTATCAGGCAGCACAAGGTAGAGCTTGACAGGGCTCTAAGACCGCCTTATTTGGATTCCGGTCTTCCAAAACACCTGGAGGCTCTCCAGTTTGGATCCCAAAACGTTGGCCGATTTCGACCACCCAATTCCTGCCCCTATAGGGATCCACACAACAGAGGGGTGGGAGAGAGGTGTGGGAGAGTAATGTGCACGGCGGATGTACGAGGTATTGTGCAGACATGTGTGTGCAGCCACAACTGGCCGAAGTAAAACCCCATCGCTCTGCCGACGTAAAGCCCTATAGCCAAGCTCTTTGTCATCGCGCGCGCTGGCTGGATAGGACGAGCTTGCGGATTCTCGGAGCATTGCCTTGCCCCGGGGAACCGGCGGCGGATTTTATCTTTGTTGGTGACTCAAGTATGGCGTTGGTTCATGCCGAACAACCGCCAGAGGGATCGTTCGAGCCTCCCAAACTCACACGCCGCAACATTGGTGAGTATATCAAGGCTGATCCCAGTGGCTTACGCGAGACAGCGGCATCGGTTCAGTACGGGATGCGTTGGGGCAAGGGTCTCGAGCAGATCAACGACGAGATCGAGAACTGCTTGAATTGTGACCGCCGACGTGCGCCTGCAATGATTGTGGTATCGTATGCTGGCAACGACGTGTGGGGAAAACACGGGTTCGTCGGCAACACATGGATCGACTCTCGGTCCGTGCGCCGCAACCCTGCAGTGCAAAGAGCCGCCTCGGAATGGCAGGACGAGCTCGCCCGCAAACACTTCGCCCAACTGGAGCGGATGGCATCCTTTCTCACGCGTCCTGACGTTGGTGCTATCTCCATCATTGCGTATGCCGACGCATAGCTTCGGGCTTCATCAGGACTATGCACAAGGCAAATGTGTTTGTTCGGAGACGCTGCTCAGAGCCGTGGTATTTTGGCAGTGACAGGTGCGGCCCTCACCCGTGCCACCACAAGGTACGACAACTTCCACGCTGAAGACTCTCATAGCAATCGTACCGCGTACTACAGGTACTATGAATGTGGATAACCACAGATTTTTGTAAAATGGTTTTGGCTCTGATCTGGAAAGACATTGCTGGAAGGCACATTCCCAAAACAGGATCTATACAAAGTGACATGTAAAATGCATCGTCGTCGAACTCCTTCCTTTTTTTTCTGCACACGTCGCACATGTTGGTAATGTACTGCAGTCGTGCCTTCTCCGGTCCGGTGATGTGTTCGACGATGTCGGCGCCAGGGTCGGGCCCAGGACTTCGTACCTTTCGAGGGTGGCAGCGGATCCCCAAAAGGGTGGCAGCAGGCGCCGTCGAACGATGCCTCGGCCGAAGGGCCGCCGAACGTCGCTTCCTCGTGGCCGAAGCCGCAGGAAGCTCGGCACCCACGCCTCACTGGGCGTGGGCACCGCCGGCTGCACGTTGGGCCGGAGCCCTTTGGAGCGGAGCGGAGCGCTGGGCCGGAGTAGAGGGTGGCATGGAGTGGTCTCCAAAAGATCTGGTCTCCAAGGCCTCGGGGGCACACCTTGATGGAGGAAATTGGATCTAACACCTCTTCAAGGTGCAATTGACGCATTGGATCTAACATTCCATGTCAATTTCGAATCAAACACCTTCAATTAATGCTCGGAAAACACAATGTTTCATAAACTGGTGCGGTGGCCAATGTATCGAAACCTGATGGGATGCATTTCTTATTCCCCAGAGAACCTTTCCCCAGTTCTCCCAACTCGTCGTCGATGTATACACACCCAGGCATGACCGGGTCTGGTCAGTTAAGGTGCATGTTGCGGGGTCCAATGTGAAAATACCTTAGGCTCAGTAAAAGCCGACCTAGGGGCTCATGGCAGCTGGCAATCCAAATGTGCATCAAGGGATAGATGGTACTATAAATGTCTATACATGAGGCCCTTCCTTTGTCTCAATTTGCCGGGATATGCTGAGGGATCATTAATTTTCATGTTCCTTTGGCCTTTGACTTTGGGGTTCCCTTTGCTTTGCTGCAGGAGGCTTCTTGGGAGCAGCTCGCTCTGGCTTTTCAGGTTTCTACTATCTTTGCTGGGCGTGGTTGACTTTGGGGTGGACCTTTTCAGCGGCCAGACTGACCATTCATGTTTGGTTTTCCAAAGCACCCAGCTTGGAAGTGGCGGCTGGTCGTGGTGCATTTCTGTTGCATCCATTGTGTTCCCTTTCCCAAGCCTCCAAGACCTTTAGAAAGGTTGACCTGGTTTAGTGCAAAAACCTGCGGGTGTATCCTGGTATAGGGGTGCTGACGGGTGATGTGTATTTTTGATGTTCACGATGGGTCAATCCAACGCCCGCGTCTCCCAACATCGATGTTTGGACGTCTCCCGACAGACCAAGCAGGTTCTGGGCACGGACGGCTCAGGTGACTATCTCCACCTTTTCGGGCTCCTCGACGAAGCGCAGTGGACGGGTGTGGCGCAGTGGGCGCACTACATGGGGCACAAGGCAAGACCCAGTCAGCGATAACCTGCAAAAGTGCTTTTCTCGCTAGCACGGGTAGAAAAAGGTTAACTTTGTTTTTTTCCGTGAAAACGGCGGAGTCAGAAGTGGTTTTGGTTCAAGTGGACCGAGGGGAAGGCCGTGGTTCCTGGAGCTTGTGGGGGGGACGTTTGGTTGCTGGTTTGTGGAGTGATATGCATGGTCGGGATGGCTTTCGTCGTTCAGGGTCATTCATCATGGGTAGCTCCCAATCAGGGGGGGAGCCCAAAAGATTGGTTGAATATTCTGAGAAACTCAACCGAGCCATCCAGGACCCCACTCTCCAGCCTCAAAGCTCTTACCCTCTTGAATTACCATGTGTGTTACTAGTAGGATTTGTTAGGTAAAGTCACATGAGTGTCCACCACCACTTTCTTAAGACACTTGTAGTTCCGTAGAACCCCAAAAACCGGTTCAAATCAAGTATCAATCATGTCCGACCCTACAACTTGTCCAAAGATCCAGTGACCCTACTTTAGTAGACACCCCAGGTTCTTTACTTGCACCAGGACCGGGGTGCTAAATGGGAACTATAGGCTACAAGCCAGGTATCGACACCCCTAGCTTTCTATGGGTTAAGACTTGATCTCCCTTCTTCTCATGGCAAGTTTACCAGCAGATATGACACGATGTGACACAGAAAAAAACATCACGAATTCACCTGTTTTTGCTTAAGGTTATGTCCATTCTCCCGAACTGGATCAATCCCCTTTGCCCCGTGAATGAGTTATTGTTCTCCCCGGTTCCACATCAAATACGACCCGACTTCACAGGTTCCTGACGTTCGTCCGGTGCCCAGCAACCTGTTAGGGTCAAACAACCACTTAAACAGCCTATCCGGTGCCTTTATACAGGTTCCAACCACCTGTTAGGCTCCTGGCCAGGAGGGTGCTGGTCGTGCGACGCCGGACCGAGGCAGGATGAACTCAGCTGGGCCCTGTGCTTTGGACGCGAAAACGGACAACTGGTCACTGCGATGCACGCGGCACGCGTGGTGGAGGCCTGGTTTTGCTTAGGAGGATATTGAATTTTCATATGTGCTACATCATTGTTTAAACGTGGTCTAAGCCATTTTTATCCTTGTCACGGGGTGAATCCCCTGATAGGGAATAGCTTTTGTATTGTTGTTGTTTTCTCCCGATTCCTGAAAAGCAAATCCAAGGAGGTGTCTCAAATCCGCGAGGAGCAGGAGAAAGGCCGGGTCGGGTCGGGCCCTAGCTCGCCGGGGGGGGGCCGAAGAATGCGAAGGGTTTGCGAAGGGACCGATCGGGCACAGGGCATGATGTAAGAAGAACAACATTTGGAAGTGCAGCCAAGGGTTTTGGTTGGTTTGGTTGATTTCTGATCGGCTGGTTTTCGCTGGGTGGTAGGTACATTGGTGAGATGTGATTGCTTGCTAGCTTACGGGTTTGGGTGATGATTTGTGGAGTGAAGGCTCCAAGATTGGAATTTGGATCGGGTGATCGGCTGGCCACTGCAAATAGTTTATATATCAAGAGGCGGGGATGACTATGACCCATGGACCTTGTTTGCCATTTGGATCTTGATTTCCTTGGAGAGTTCTTTGCAATCCTCTTAAATCGAGCACTCTTCGCACTCTTCGCAGTCGGACTGGTGCAGCCATTGGTACATGTGTCGTCATGTGTCAGACGTCCGTCTTTCATCAAACCTTGCTGACCGGAAACGAGCGTACGAATGGGGCCCCCCGGGAGGGCCGTAATGACTCAACCAGCAACGGCCTATTCTTGCACATGTGCGCCAATTGCGTGGGAAAAAGCCTAGGTGTAATTAATGGAAAAACCTGAACCAAAGTTCAATATAAATGGAGTTGGTTCAGGTACAGACCCTGGAGTTGTTTGGGGCGCCACAGGCGCTTCCGCCACATATGAGAAGAAGATGATCCTGCCAGAGGACCGCCGGACCGCTGTAGAGGTGATTTCAGCGAAAGTGGTGAGCTGGGAATCTGGTGATTTCATCGGGGCAAAGTTTCAATGACTTGACCTGAAGTCATGAATCCGTTTCCCGATGTAATTATCATTGCTATTCATTGCTTGCTTTCTCGAGACGCTCATCTAATACAGACCCATACATGTCCTTTTTCACAATATAAAGAAGACACTATAAGACATGCACCCTTTGGTTTAGTCGTATGTTTGTGTTGGCGATCCCTTGTAGTCATTCATGCACCCTAATCCAAGTTCGTTGGGGACTCCTCTGCAGGCCAGCCTGACTGGGTAGACCCAGACCCATGTTGGGTAGGAGTAGGCCCATCTAGACCCTAAGAAGCCTGGCCTGGAGGCAGCGTGACGCCCTCCAGAAAGGCACACTACTTCCGCCGTGCCAGTAGCCGTGCCATCTTGCCCCTAGATTCTCGCACGAGATCTGATCCAGTGGATGACTGCTTAGCATGTTTAAGAAGATGATAAGCAAATGTGAACTAGCAGCGCTGCCCTTCCGGTGTACTAAGCTGGAAGAATTCTGGCAGTTGAGAGACGCGAAATCACTCACATGTGAAACGCACCCGGCAGTGAACCTTTCAGTTTCGCATGTTTAGCAGTTCAGCACCTATCCAGTCTCATTGTTTTGGGCTGCCTTCCTTAACATGCCGCAACCTGAGGGCTTTCACCTTCGTTCGCAGTCCTTTGTTTTTTCGCTTTTTGAGGAGGCCTTGAATGGTTTTGAATCCATGAGCTTCAATTTCATGGTCACAGCTGCTGGTTCCATGAAGCTCGGACTCGCACAAGGGCAAAGGCTGCAGAACGCGGCGTTCACGCGATGTTTGCAAAAACCAGGAGCCAAATGGTACATGTAGACCGTTGATCAAAAACTCCATGGGTCAACAGCGCCGGTTCTCCAAGCTTTTGTACTCCACTGGTCGGGTAGACGGCGCGTCCAAGACGAAACAACAAACCCCAAGGATCCACAGATCCACCGTACCTCAGAAGGTACTTCTGGTTTTGCTGCGCCTACATAACTCTCCAATCACCGTACCTCAGAAGGTATGTGGATCCATAGGGAAAGAAACACTACTAGCAAAGGGACGCTACTAGAGCTCCTGGCATCGCTACGGCGGTCTCGGAGCTGTGTGCCGCTCCCTTCCTCACTGGGACACATGATGCGAAGGATGCAGGGATTCCCAAAATGGTTGGCATGACGTTTGGTAGGACCATTCAATCAAGTTGAATCTAAGTCTGGATTTCTTTTCAGTGATCTTTCTTCAAACATCGTCACAAGTACCCCAATCTAGGTAAATCTTCCATAGATTTGGCAAACCCATTCTCGCAAGGCCACCCGTCTCTTTGGTTGGTCCTTCGGTTGGTCCATCGATCGCGGCAGTGCCGGACCACAGCTAGAACCTGAGAGACACCTCTGATGGCCGGCGCACTGGCGCCATCCATATCGACGGGCTGGGCTCGCTCCCGATGCTGGCGAGCCAAGTGGAGTCACAGGTCTGGCCAACAGCTACGTGGTTGATGAACAGATGGGGATCTCTCCAGTGGTGATACTCCACCAGTTCGGTATATACCCTAGAGTTCCAAGGACTATATTTTGACCGGCTGAAGTAAAGGAAGTTCCCGAAATCAGTTCCCCTAAAGACTATTCTTTTGTATAGTCTTTGACTCCCAGGGTATACGTTCCACATCGATCCCCCTCAAAGCCTTCCCCCATGTGCAGTTCCACGGCTCGCTCGCGCTTTTAAACGCAGCGAGGCATGTGCGGCTCCCTGGCCACGAGGAGGACCTGGCGGTCGCCTTCGGTGCCTCGGTGGTCCTCGGACCGGGCGGTAGGTGGCGATCCGATGAAGTGTCGGAGCTGGGAGGCTGAAGCCCGTGCTGAAAGGCTTGAGCCTGGAATATCCTGGAACTCCAAGACCATTTTTGACATGGTGGATCTGACAGGTTTTGTGGTGCCAAATCCAGTACAACAATGGTTGTTCGGGATTCAGGCTGAGTGGTGGTTCGGCTTTTAGGCTTGATGGGGTTAGATGAATTGATTCATCCATCGTTGACCTCCGAGAAGTGAGCCAGTTCGGCGGACTCTCCCTCAAGTCAGCCGACCACCGCATCCCCTCGGGCCCACAGGAGCCAACCTACCCACTACGAAGTACCTGGATCACCTGCAGGGAAAACCAAAACCTTTGGGAGGGGGATTGGGGAATTATTTGGTACTTTTTTCACTCCACCGTTCTTGTTGAGGGAAAAGATATTTATATATAAATATACTAGGGAACCCACATGTGCATTTTTGTTGTTCAAACACGTTCGCAGAACAAATCCGTGCATCCGGCCGTTTTTGTCAAATGGGCAAATTTGCTGGAATTCCTCCAAATATTGGGTTTGATCGGGTTTTATCAATATTATTGTTTGGGTCTTTGTCAATAAAATGCTGATAACGTTTGGGTTTCATATGGGTACGCTTTTGTACGGTATTGTTTTTTGTCCATACGGCTAAATACGGTAATTTGTTAATTAACATGTCCATACACGTCCATACGATAAAATCTGTCCAAAGACGGCCTTCGCACAAAAAAAGTGTTCATACGCCTTTCCAGCTATATAATATATACCCAATATTCACCAATCCGCCTCCCAAATTGTGAACATTTGGTTCACTGTTTCTTTTATTCTGGGAAAATCTCGACAAATGCAGGTCATTGCAGATCCAGCCATTGAAACAGTTGCTGTGTGTTTTTTCCTGGAACCACCAGAAACACCCACTTTGGATGTTTCAACGAGCACGTTGTAAGGGTTTCAGCCAGATTGAATGCACCATGTGTTTCTTTTGATCTTCAGATCTGACGTTTTGGTACCAAGAAGGGGCCATCTCCCAAGCACGAGCCGAGCGTTCCAAAAAAAGACGTCGATGGCTTTACACCACGCTGTTCTTCCATGTTCTTGCCCCCCCCCCAAAAGGCCCGCGCTTTCACCACGCTGCTCGGCGCGCCCGCGGTTTCACGCCCGACGCTCGCGACGCCGCGGAGGCATTCCGAAGGACGTGGAGATCTTCGTGGTGGCCTCCACCGTGTGGCCTGGTCCGTCCGGTCCGATGAGACCGGATCCGTCAGCGTTTCGTCGTAGTGATCAGTGAATAGACATAAATGCATGTATAGACTTGATAAAATAACCCAACCCCCAGATGAAGAGGCATTTCTTTTTCCCAACTGGGGTGCCTTAGTGGATCCTATAGTGTAATTTTTGATCTTAATTAGCAAAACGGGTGCCCCCCTAGCCAACAATCGAGGGAGTATGAATAGAATCCCCGCCACAAAAACCATTAGTAGCGTTCGTAGCAGTAGCAGCAGCAGTAGTAGTTTAGTAGGTTGGTCGTAGTAGTAGTAGTCGTCGTCGTCGTAGTAGTAGTAGTAGTCGTCGTCGTAGTGGTAGTGGTAGTAGTAGTAGTCGTCGTAGTCGTAGTCGTAGTCGTAGTAGTCGTCGTAGTAGTAGTAGTAGCAGGAGTAGTAGTAGTAGTAGCAGTAGTAGTAGTAGTATTGTTGTTATTGTAGTAGTTGTAGTAAGTCGTCGTCGTCGTAGTAGCAGTAGTAGTAGCAGCAGTAGTATTACTAGCAGTCATAGTAGTAGAAGAGTAAAGGAAGGATTTGAAAGGGCAGCAATAGCAGAACAAACAAAGTTATATAGACGTGTTTTTCCCTTAGGGCTCCAAGTTTGCTTATTCATCCCACCCCAAAAAAACAATTGATATTATTCACTTCCCCTGGGCTGGTGTACTACCCCTTGAAAAAATTGTTTGGAGCAATGAAATCGTTGAGTTTTTATAAGCGTTTTTGACAACGATTTCCAGGTCAGAATTCCCTGAATCAAGCAAACCTCAGGAGTATTATATAAGTGAGGATGCTAACGAGGGAGCAACAGCAGAACAATAGAACAGTAAACAAAGCCCAAGAAATAACACCCTGGGTCCGGGTGACTTTTTCTAATTGTTCCCTCACTCTAAAAACTTTTTATAGGGTATTGGAACATATTGGCGAAACCTTTCTATTATTCGGTCCTGGGTCCCATTATACTAATTTGGATGCTGTGGTAACTGGTCTCATGAAGAGGGTGTTCGGGAGAGAGGAGAGAGAGAAGTAACTGGGATCCGGGGTTGATCAACAAATCCCCGCTCGTTTTGGAGTGACTTCTCTATAATGTCGGATGACTTTTGGATTATGGTCGAATCAATTTGTAGGGTCGCATTTGTTGGAGCGCCGGCAGACCACGCTTTTTGAAGCTCCGTTTGGACAGCCCGTGTTTGCACCCAGGAAGGTAAACATGGAATCTGATGGCATCGACCTTTGGACGATGATTTTCCTCTACAACCGAGTGGTTTTTTCAGGTTGCATGTTCATCTTCCAGAGTGTACACTTAAGAACTGGCATCCTGCCATCCCGCTCCACTTACTCCACAAAAAAGAAAACCAGAGGCTTGAAAAGCTATGACTCTTTAATAAACCCCATCTCAGCAGTTGGTACGAAAGAAAGCCCGTCTATGTACTCAAACGTTCAAAATATTTCACCTTTGCTTACACTGACCCCTGAAACAACTACCTCAATGTAGGCCTAGTATGCCAGTCCCATGAGTATATATATAGATCATGTGGCAATAGCCGTGACGATATATGACTCTAAGTGACCAAAGATTGTTCTGGCAGCATGATCCTATCACATGAGTTTGGGCTGACACGATATGTCTTATGTGCAGGTCTTCCTCATGAAACAGGGATCCGCGCCACGTGTGGAGTGACCCCAGGAACTCCCCCGCGTGGCCGTGGCCGTCGCGCAGCTGTCGCTGAGGTTCGGCCATGGTCGGATCACCATCTCCCCTGTGGACGACAAGGATTCCTCAAGTCCAGGCGCTGCTTGGGACTCAAAGATCTTCCCCACGGAGGCCGCTGAGGCCGAAGAAGAGCCCTGAAGCGTGGGTCGGTGACCTGCGGGACGCGAGCGGTCCTGCGACGGTCGCGCGGGTCGTTGACCTGCAGGTCGGGCAGCTGCAGAAAGTCCAGGAGTGTTCAGCAGTTCCACCAGAACCATTACACAGAGCTCGTTATTTCTTTTAAGTGAGGGAACCACATGAATCGAGTTGTTCCTATGCAGCGAACAGTGCCCGAACTGCCAGTGCTCACCAGCCTTGGTCTTAAGAAAAAGCCACACCAAAGCAGATGCGCGAGGATTGTCGCTGCTGCGTCCTTCGCTCTTTTGCTTCGCCACCCGACATCCATACCGATCTTCCACCACCTGGGTCCGACGACACGCGCGCTCCGTTCCAAAAGAGACGACCCGCTGTGGTTCGGTGACTCCGCGCTTGCGGAGTCCGGCTGTGTGGGAGTGATTGGTTTGAACGTACCTAGACTGCCTTTCGGGCCATATGTTCCGCCTGTTCATGTGACAGCTCGAGGCTGTTTTTCCAAACTCGGGCGGATTTCCAGGCGAATGTCCAAGTTCAGGCGAATTTCATGGAATCTTACATCTTCGGTTCTTACTGTTGGAGGCGTGATGTTGGCATACCCCTTACCGGTAGTGTTTCTGCTGTTTGTTTCAAATCATTTGGCGATTCGGGCTGTTCTATTTTTCGAGTCGGGCTGTTTTTCCAAATCACCAAAACCAGAATCGGGCGAATATACACGGGAAACGGACGAATATACGCGGGAAACGGGTGAATATACGTGAACCAACACTTTTCAGTTGGATCAATGCGCGCTGATTTCAATTTTTTGTGCGGGCTGATTTCAATTTCCAGGTTTCTATTTGTGAAACACTTTGTTTGGCTCAATCATGTTGTATCTTCTCCAAGCTGTGTTGCTCATATAGATTTGATCAAAGCAGCATTCGGGCGAATTTTTCAGACTCGGGCGAATTTCCCAAACTCGGGCGAAAATTTGTAGCAAAACCGCCCGGGCTGAATTACGGCCTGGGCGGCAGTCCAGGTATGTTTTTCCTTGCTTGCATCATTCCTGAGGGGGAGTACCCTGTTTATTTGTGTTTGTTGCTACCTCCCGGTCACTTCGAGCTAATCTCGTTGGCTGAGGAAAATCTTATAAGATTCTGCTCGAGGACCTACACATGCCTATTGCTAGTGGGTCAAAAAATATAGACACGACAGCTAGTCGTGGAAATATAGACACAGTCAAAAAATATAGACTCGCTAGGACCCCAGCAAATAGCACAAAACGTTTCAGGGTGCATCCACTAACCTTCCTTGTCTTGTCAAGTCGCCAGACCACTGAGGCGCCTCGTGCGCCACATGCGCGCGTTCAAGTCATTCCGCGCTCAAGGCCGTTTCCCGGCGGTTTCCCCGGTGACTGGATCCCTAGGGTTCAGAAGAGGGGTTAGTTGCAAGGATCCAACCCCAGAGAGCGAAGACCTGGTCGAAACAATGTGGTGGTGGATTGATTATGTCAAGGTAGCATTGTGCAGATTTATCTGTATGATTTTGCTTCGCAAGGTTGTAGGCAAGTGTTTTGTTGCTGTTCTCCTGTTCTCCTCTCCGATTTGGACATGGGACTTCCTGCGTGGAAGGCTCCTACTTGGGACATCACCACTTGACCAGACCAAATGAAGACATCAAGACTAACTACTAGTTTTCCTTAGGGCATCTCTACTAACTGCTAAGACACATATGCCGCCCCATCAACATCCATACTTCCGAATCTCAAGGTGCGGAGGTCGCCCCCCCCATAGTCCCGCCATAGTCCATATGATCACATGACTTCGCACCCTAGGTCCGGCGTACATACTGAGTATGTCAGTCTCATTGGTGATGACAATGGCATTGGGATCACATCACCAAATACATCACCACTGGGAGTATGTCAGTCTCATGGCATTGGCATTGGTGATGTGTTTCACGGTCGGCTCGCCTGGCCACATTCATGCTCGGATCCGCCGAGCTGGAAGGAACACGACATCCATGGAATAGTTACATACATTCACCTCATGAAAATGACTCCAACAGGTAACTATTCCAGTGTTATGGATGGTTTGGGCAGATGGTTTGGGAATGATGTTGATTCAAAGGCCACGTTGTTTTGATGCCAGGTTCCTGCCCTAGACAGGGGCGGGAGCTACAGTATTGCCTGGGTGGAAGAGTATGTTGGATTATTTGAGGAATTTGAGTTTGGATGGATTTGACATTGATCAACAGTTGAAGGAAAGGAATTGTCAGGTACATATATATGCTATACCTTGTATAAGTTCTTGTATTATGTTAAATACTTGGGATGTTTCATGCATCACATCTTGGATCGTTTCAGTCGGAACTATGGCCCACCCGCGGACCAGCTGTTGCGGACCAGTCGCACCATCCAGGGGGGAAGTGATGCATACATTGACCCCGTTTCAAGCACGGAAAGGCTTGACCCTGGAAGTCCAACACCATGTTTTTTAAAGGGAACGATCCGGTTTTCGAGTGTTAAATCCTTAGTGAAACTATGGCTGCCAGGCTGTTCGGTAAAGGCCATGACATAAAATGTTGGTTTGACTTCTAGGGGTAGATGTGCAGTGCTTTCAGAGGTTTGATGGCACAAGTTACCGGAAAGTTGGTGGTTTACAAGGACCCCCACATAAACAAACAAACAAACAAAAACACACACACTATTGGGTTTGTGCCATCTACTCTGAACCACTGTAAATAAGGCCATACATGGATGGTGGCCTATGACCCTTGGGGACCACCTCCGCCAGGCGACTACCCGCAATTCGAGCGCGCGCGGAATTCAGACGGCTGTGCCAGTCGCGGCTGCTGTGCCAGTCTCACCCTGTCGCGTCGGTCAATGAAAACAGAGGAATCTACAGATGGATTATAGACCAGCTTCTTCAAAGTGCCTAACCCAGACACTCCATGTATGCCATATATGCTTACATTGACCCCCAAAACCACCCCAATGTAGGCATATATGGCATACATGGAGTGTCTGGGTAAGTGACCTTTTACAGGCCCAAGTGGTACTCAAACTGGGATATGAAAAGGTCACTTTGGAGAACCCGTTTGATTTTCTGGGGGGGTGGCTTGTTGACAACAAATCCAAGTGTTTGCGCCATTCGGCTCCCCTGTTGACCGCTTTGTGTGACAGCCAGGGGCACCACCTGCTTGGCGCACATGGCCCTTCCGAACTCTTTGCCATGGGTCCCACTTGCGGACCAAACACATCTTGCGGACCACAGCTACACCCTGGAAGGCTAACATGGACCCTGAAAACCACCTGGTTGGTAGAGGAAAACACTCTTCCAGGGGGCCAGGACGTCAGGGTCTATGTTAGTTTTCGGGAGTGTATTTTTTCTTGAAGGCCAACAAGCATCAAGCACAGGTTGACCCTGGTCTTGTGGTCTTGGGTCATTTGTTTTGCATATGCATTCGGGCCCCCTCCCTAAAAAGACCAGTAAGCATCTTCATCCTTCGGGAAATGGCTCAATGGTAGGTCTTCATTGTGGGCTCTCAGCATGAAAGTGACCCGCTGTGACCGGGCTGAAGAACAGAATGTAAACGCATGTATCCCAGACGCTCCATGTATGCCATGTATGCCTACATTGGGGTGGTGCCAGGGGGGTCAATGTAGGCATATATGCCATACATGGAGTGTATGTGTAAAGATGTGTATTTTGGATTTGAGATGATTTTGTGACCACGGATTTGCTTTGATTTTGTATTTTGTATGTGCTAATTATATCGATTTTTGCCGTGGTTATCTCACCGAGCTTGACCCATGCTGACGTCAACCAAGTGTCACCAGATCTCTTCCGTAGGGTGTTAGACAGAACGAAGCAATTTCATGCCCAGAGGCCTCATGCCCAGATCAAAACCGGAGGTGTTCCACCACCCCTCAGCAGTTCTAGCAATCATAGTTACTCAGCAACATGACTGTTCCAGCAATCCTCAGCAGTCCTGGTGAAGCATGGTGAAGAACCTAAATATCCTCAAAAAGCCTTTGATTATCACTGATGCCCGCGGAATGGAGATATATGGACGCCAAGCCTGCTGGCGTGTGTGTAGACTACGATCTTATTTTTTTGCGTCGAGCCAGAGGAGAGTGATGGCCATGGCTTCGGAATCACATGAGGGAAAATGATCCAATGCCCAGACACTCCATGGGACTGGAATATATGCCACCCCCTTGACCCTCAAAACACCCCAACTGATCGGCATATATGGCAGTCTCATGGAGTGTATTGGAATTGTCAGTCTCGAAATTGCAAGTGGCTTGCTTGCTGAGTAGCACGTTTGAGGCCACTTCGCCTCCAAAAAGAGGAACTTGGAATTGAAGACCCCAAAAGCGCCATGTGTGCGAAATCACAGCGGCTTCAAGGACGCAAAATCAGTATGCTGCATGGTTCCCAGTGGGTTTGTGTCTTTCCCAGTGGATTTGGGTATGGTTGGGTGGTTTCCAATGTTTATGCCAAAGCCAAACATTTGCCGATCAGCACGTAGAAGGAACCTGAAATTGTCTGATCAGGCAATCTTTTAAATTTTATAATAAGCAGTACCCAGCAAGACGGAAAGGGTGCTTTATGGACCCTCCTGACCATGCATTTTCCGTCCAGAAACGTCACCACCCTGGTCCAGGTGGTGCTGGTCCAGGATTTGTTACAAACGACTGGATTCGTGCCAATCCCTGAATGGCCGATCGAGTGATGTTTCCCTCCTCTGGTCGACCTCGACCTCGTGGCTTCCCTCGTTCGCTGCCGTGAGTGGTTTTTTTGGGTCGAGCAAAAGAGAGACCGGTCGATGGTTGCCGTGTCGACTGTTTCGCCCTGGATGGAGTTGCTCAAAACATTGGTGGACTTCCTGTAGAAGAGCAAGACTTTCTCATGCAGGCACATGTGGGTGTTCTTTGCATTTTGTATGTGTATAGTGTATGTATATAGTTTCTATCCATATATATATATACCTAGAACCTGATTGACCCCTGTTTTGGAGTCAAAACATGGTCTTTACCTATCAAAACAAAGGTCATATGGGTTCTAGGTATATAATAGCACCGTGTCGAAGGACGGTGTGTCGGGTCTTGGAACCCACGGGAAGGAGCAGAACCCACGGGGCGAAGGGAGCAGAACCCGCAGTGGCCAAGGTGGTACGGTCATGGAAGGCGTGGACGCCCGTCCACCAGAGGAACGTGGAGTTGGTCCGAAAGAAACCAAAGAAGGAACGTGAGTGGTTTTCATGGAAGGCGGTGGTGGTTTCATTTTTGAGGACATGGGCAGGGGTGAAGTTCCCACCGGGCCTACGGATTTTTAACTGGGGTCATGAGTTCGACCTTCTCACCAATGAGATCCAGTGCCAGACTCCATGTGGGTGTGCATTCGAGGGAGGCTCGCAACATCTCGCAACCAATAGGTTTGGTCTATTTCTTTTCTTCCAGGGGGTCGGACTGGGAGGTCTCCCTATTTTAATCCCCTCTATACTCTATACTTGTGACCCTCAAAGCCCAATGTGGGTCAATATGCCACTGTCCCGTGATTTGACTTGGCCAGGGATATTTTGTGGGTTTCTCCTGCGATGTGACACCTCATGTCACGTGTTGACCCTGTGATGGTCATCCTGCTCGGACACACACGCAACCGGTTCGTTGGACACTACTTCGCTTCGTGTGTCAAAGCGCTTCCCACGCGCTTCCCATGCGCCCACGAGCCCTGTGTCAAGCACGGGCAGATCAGACACAAGAGACAAACCAACAAATCAGCAAGCTGGATGTCAAATCTCCAGACACGACCAGACCGGGACTGGCATGTAATATGTATCATAGACATACCGATCAGTTGGGGTGGTTGAAAGGAGCCACTATTTTGCCATATGCTAACTGTAGAGTGTTTGCGTAGGATGTCGTGACCCGGTGTTGGAGGGCTTGCAGGGCTTGCAAGGGAGGGGTTGGGGATCTGGGACTATAGAGGGTGAATTGGATCGTTCTACTTGGGTTGGAACAGTCTGATTGTTTTTTTTTGGACCAGAACCGCAATACATGAGATACAGGTTCACCATGGTTCCTTCCTGCATACCCAGACGTGACGGGTCGATGCCATCCCCTGCAGCTTCTTGCAGGACCTTACTGATTCGGGAGAGTTCTACACCGCACCCTGCATGCGATCGGTCGGGTCCTTCCGGTCCACGTCCCAAAGCAGACGGAGGGTACGATCCACCTCTGAGACAGAGCAACTGAGACAACACTATCTACTGTTATACACCTGGTACTGAGATATGCTGATAACCTATAAACTGAAGAAGTCCATATACATACCATATAACCAAGATATATTGTAACCCAAAAATAATGCGTCCATGATATATAGAGTGGATAAGATATGTTCTGATATACCCTACATCCACTCAAAAGCCTACACAGCTGGGCCTCGCCTTTGCTCTCAATGCATCTCTTCCCACTTGATGTGCGCTCCGATGCAGCCAAGCTGCGACGCAGCTATTTGCAGCTGGCCTTGAAATATCATCCGGACAAGGCGACCGTTCTTCAACTGCCGTTCTGGTCCGGTTGAGGGGAGGTTGATGGGACATGTATAAATTTACATGTGCCCTGGGCGTCCCAGTCTAGATGAATGGAGTTCACGAACTTCCTGAATACTTGGGTGCCAAAGGTGGAAGGCTAAAGATCTTCCTGAGACCGGGACCGCCAACCCGCCCATCATGCCGGCTGGTGGATGTCCCTGTTTGACCTGCTTGGCATCTCTTTCAGTCTGATGGGAGTCATGGGAGCGGAGAGGTACCTCTCCTCGGCTCCGTTCGGGTCGTTCACGCGAGTCCGTCAGGCCCAAGCGACCTACCTATACCTACCATCCGTCCATCACGCACAGGAATGGACAGTTCGACTGTCAGAGAGAGAGAGAGGCCTCCAACATACAGGACGCTAACCCTACTCTAACTCTAATCTAATCGCTTTGGTATTGCTAGCTTGAAAATGATCATCAACTGAGTGGGTAACAACAATAAGCTCAGTTAGACGTGTACGTCTCCTTGTGGCCACCCACATGTGCCGAAACATCTGCGGACCAGCCACTGCAGTGCCGATGTCCATCGATTGGTATCTGACCTGGCCCCATTTGGACCGCCGAGTCTGGGTAATGCGTGTGTGTCGCAGGTGGTGGGCGCTGATGCTCAAGGACTGGAGTGATCTGGAGTGAGTGGAGCGCGGAGCACGGGTATCGATTCCGATCTCGCACAGTATGCTGACTGAATCTGACTGAGGGTTTCGGGTTTGAGGGCTATAGGGTTTGAGGGTTTAGGGTCATGTTGTCGCTGCTCCGTTCGTTCGGCTCGCATCAACGAGTTACCGCCCTCGCTACAGACTTGGGCAGCGCGGAGGCGGAAGGACCGACTGGAAGGGTGACTAAGAAACTGGGCGGCCCGTAGTGGTTACTACTGTAATTAGTTAGCTGTTGAGGCCACTTGCTAAGCAGTTCTTATGTATAGTTGTCAAATAGGTAGTACGTCACTTATGTGCCACTTACCGAAGTGCATAGTAAGTACACATAGCCTACATAGCAAGTACACTTGAAGCGCTTTGAACAAGGGTAATTACCATGAAAACATGTCGGTTTGTCTTGCTCCTCTCAGCCTGCATGAAGCGCTTGCGCTCCCTAAGTGCAAACAAGGTACTGCTGAGTTGTTGAACATCAAAGGCTGCAGCTTTTGCAGGGCTGCGCTTGCAAGATTGTCAACGAATGTCAATGTTGGCACGCTTTTGCAGGGCTGCGCTCGCAAGCAGGAAGGGCTGGCTAAGTTGAAAGGCAACGGTGCCTTTCAAAGGGAGTTGTAGATTTCTTGAATGCATACTGTTCAGAATTTGTGTTGGCACGTTTGCAAGGCTGTGCTCGCAAGATAGATAGCAATCCTTGTTGATTTGATACTCTTGTAAGATCTTGTAAGTTAGGAGCTTTAATGTGTGCGTTGCCACATTGCTGGAGCAAAGATAGCCATTCAGGAAAATTATTGACAACTCATTCGGTGACCACGCCACGCGCCAAGTCAACCCGTTCGCAATACAATCATGAACCATGCAGTGCTAGTTTGCGCGAGCACGATTGGTCCCACGGAATGTCTATGGAAAGAAGTGTCCTCTCCTGGTATTTGCTCTCAATGTTGGCACGCTTGTAGGGCCGCGCTCGCAAGAAGGAAGTGCGTGTTGGCATGTGCGCATGGCCGCGCCAGCATGTGCATGTTCATGAAACTTCAAGGCCTGTGCCCTTTGTGGGCAAAGCTTGGGAAATTCAGAACACGTGTTTGCAATCTGCAAAAACGACAACACTGCAACGTACACATGAGCTCACTGTACGCACCAATCTTTTTGTGCCCGGAACACCAACAACATGAAACAAGGCGCGTGCGCAACAGCACGAAGAAAAACCAACATAACATTTGTTAGCGAGAGACCTCCCTGTTGTGCGGGACTTTGTGCTAGACTGTTGGGACAAACATGCGGAAACTTGAACAACATGAAACGATATCCTTGTGGAAACTATAATATCCTGGTATCCTTGTGGAAACTTGAGCAACTTGAAACCAGTTGCGTGCTCAACAGCCAATAGAACCAACAATACATCTGCCAGCGAGAGACCCTCCCTGCTGTGCGAGACTGTTTGGGAAAACATATCCGTGCGAGAACTTCGGTATACAGTTCCTGGGTTTTCTTCCCGTTGGTGCCACTTTGGCGCGAATGCTTTATGTGAGTTCCGGCATCGGGGATTTTGTTGGTCGAAAGGGCTGCGAAATTCAATCATGCATCTGTCATACATCGCGCACATAGCTTTGTAGCGCACCTAGTTAACAAGTGCCACGTACCTAATTAGTAGATTGTAGGTAAGCAAAATAAAAGTTAACCTTAAGTATTATATGTAATGTAGATGCACGTTTGGAATTATACAGGTATGTATGCGAGCAGCAGGTAGGAACATTACAGCAATTAACATATCTTAGGTCACTTATAACCTCACTTGCAGTTGTTCCCAAGTGGTACAATCACCATAGCCAGACCGCCAAGAAGACAGGGATTGATGTGCCATGGGCAGTCTCAACAAATTGCGGATGGGCGGTTCCAACATCTGCTCGGGATACTCGTCAGTGGATGAAATGTATCCAAGCTTACGAGCACAAGGTCAGGAAGCTAGCCCGACGTGCCCCAGGAGTGTTGGCAGGAAAGATGATTTCGCAACTCGACTCCAATGTCGGACGCCAGAGCAAAGCGCAAGATGAGACCAATTCCCTCTTGAAAAATCTCAATACCCTCATGAAGTCCCTCGTCGATGTTGAGCAGCGCAAGACGACGCTTGTGGCACAGGCTGCCAAAGCAGCTTCATCGGCTACGGCCAATACTGGACCTGCAAGTGCACCGCCTGGATCGGCACCGGCCATGGCACCTGGATCGGTACCAGCCGCTACGGCACCCCCTCCGGCCACCTTGGGGACTGGAGTGGTCCAGACACCTTTGACGCCTGCGGTAGCTCCGAAGCTCATGCCTGCGACTTTGGCACCTCCGCAAGGCCTTGAGAGAGATGCAATCGTCGCTCCTGACCACCACTGAAAGGTGTTTGGAGGCAGGACACGACCCCCATCCAGCCGCTGTCCACTCAATACTTCAGACTTCAGACAAGCGCTCCTTCGCGCCGGCGAGGGAGGCCCTCACGTTGTGTGGGGCAGTGGACTTGGCTCTGCCGGGCCGCATTGCAGAGTCCCTGGACTGCTTGATACAGCGCCTCAAGAGCGTTGAGCTTGTCGCCCAAGGCGCATCCTGGCAGGTTGCACAACGCCTAGAAGTGCTTCCCCCCCGAGAGGCCGGTACTGTCCACTCGGGGAGGGACCAAAGCTGTGATCAAGGAGCAGCAGGACGAGGCGAAGACGAGGAACGATTCTTCAAAAGATCGCGGAAAAGGCACTGGCTGGCAGGGCTCTTTTGGGCGAGAGAGCGCAAGGGTTCGATCGCTGGCGTCGCAGTGACGGCAGCACCAACAGGCATGGAAATGCTACAGCTGTTCGTCAAGATCTTCGGTGATGGAGACCTTTTTAGATTTCTCGAGCTGCAATGTTTTCACCTGATCAGTTCCATGATGAATCCACGATATGCACGGCTTGGGTCATATTTTGTCCCCTCATTGGCAGTTCAATCACGTGGCTTTATGGGGTTTTCTTTGACAAGTTCACGATGAATTCGGAGCAGGTTGGAGAGAAAAATAATGCAACATGGAATTAAAAGAAATACTCGCGCCTTGGACGACCATCGCAAATGTCCAAAGTGCGAGGAGCACTGTCAGGTGCCACAGACAGCGTCAGCGACCAACCGTTCCTCCAGGCAGCATCACTCAATATCACCAAGGGCGCGCATCACCAGTGGCAAGCGTTTTTGCACGTTTATTTTTGCAGACGTGGCAGTACGTGAACTCAGGAATGCTAATGCAGACTTGAGGGCAGGCCCGACGAAAGCTAGGGGGCCAGGCCCAACGGTATCGGTACTTTTGCAAGTTGCAAAAGGGTTGATCATCATTCTTGGGTCGAGGGTCGCCAGTTCTTCTACTGATTTCTACTGTAAAGCTTCGTTTCGCTTCGACTATTGTCTTAGGCTGCAGGTTAGGCTGCAGGCCCCCCCATGCGTTGCAAGCGATCATGTGGTTAATGTGGTTAGTTTCTGTACATGGCCAGGAGCAACCAAACCCTAGAAAAAAGACGACCTTTTTTCCGAAAACCCGTGTTTTTCTAGGTTTGGGATGGTCTGGGTGGTTCGAGGTTGTGCCGGTTTTTTGGGTGAAGCCCAGACAGCTCGTGAAGTCAGAGTCATCGTTGCCAGGAGAGTGTGAGCAACGTGAGGCCACTGAAATCTTTCAAGAGATTCAGGCAGCGTTTCTTGGCGAGTTTCAAATTCATGGATGTTTTTTTGGGTTCGTGAGGGATTCTCCTTCAGGGATGATCCAAATTTCAAGATCGTTGGGCACCCACACCTGGCAACACTATACCTCGAGCTCTTGCATCAGCTCACTATTGAATGCCTTAAGGGAGAAGGATTACATATGGGCAGCATCTGGGAGCATAAATATGGAAATATAGACCTGGTGTAAATACGAATCAATCGGCAACATGACCCTTCATATAGGGGTCCCGATCTCCCACGGCCAGGTGTGGTGTAGTGTCGGGTGATTGGTTGTTCCTTGTGGGTGAATCCCCATTGGGTGGGGCGAAATGTGTTTCAGACCAAAAAAATGTATAACCCAGACACGACCCATGGGACTGGAACCTATGCCGCCCCAGACAGACCCCCCCCTGGCACCACCCCTGGCCTGGAGCACGGCAGTCCTATCGCATGATATCATGGGTCGCGTTTTGGGTAAATTGATCTATTCCATCCACCGGACCCCATGAAACACAGAGCCCAGACCGTCGGCTCAACACGACGATCGTCGATTTGCGGCGGCTTTGTGTCGACTCGACCGAGAGACCTTATAACCCGCCACCGTCGACCTTCACCCGCGCCCAGGTACGAGGAGCTCGCCACACGCTTGGACGCCAAAGGCGCCGTAGATCGATCCGGAGGTCGATGCCCAGACACTCCATGAGACTGCCAGGGAGCCCTATTATACCTACAGGCCTACAGAGGTTAAGTGACCTGAACTAGGACCCTGCAGGGGTACCCATAGGATAGTCGAACTAGGGTTCTTCAACCGCTGGTAGGGCCAGAAAATGTTGCAGCCACTCCACCGTGCCGCACGAACTCCCGTCACAGGTGCGATCGCCTCGGTGGGCCGAGTGCGGAGTAGCTTGGCCGCTGCATGCGAGCTGGGAGACGTGGAGGTGGGAAGACTACGTGGCTCCAGCAGTCACGTGAGCTCCGGGGTGCGATCCATGGAGGTAGGAGTTGGGTGCCCCTGTCACATCCACTCACTGGATGGCATTAAACACCACCCCGACAGGTGACTCCTGGTTCCAAGCATGGTGAGAATGTGGTGACGAGATGCTGGGATCTCCATGTGCGGTGTCAAAAACATGTAAAGACGTCTCCCAGTGACTGGGATTTGTCCATTTATGGTCTTTGGGATTCATTTTGCAGACACTTCTATGGTCTTCTACGTGTGGCGTCAAAGAGGTATCACTTTTATTCTTGTGGATCACTTTTGGCGCTTAAGAGGGCGAGACTGAGTGCGAGACTGTGTTCCTTCTGGGGCCGACACGCGACACGCGACGCACTCCGTCTTCGGCTGACGCTCGATCTTCACGGCATGAGTACGATGAACAGAAGCAACATGAAGATGCATTGCCACGACTAAAAGATACTAAAAGAATCTAAAAGAACATGTAACAAAAAAAACACCCTCTAACTTCAAGAGCAGGTGCTCTACCTCCAAGAGTGGGTGTGTGTTTTGTTCAATCATTATTACACCTGTTTCATGGAAGAACCGACCTGAACGCGGATCCTCACCATGCGATCTTCGAACGAACCAAACGGTCGAACGCTCGGATCCGCGTCTCTCCACATTAATTTTTCTGCGGGCGATCCCATCAAGCAGTGTATAGGTGTACCCGAAGTCCCGGCCGTGGCAAGCCCCCCCTCGACCCTCGACAAAGTTTGTTTTGTTAAGACCTAAGCTGGGACCCAAACTAGAATGGCACTACATACTATGGTTTTTCCGTATGATAGTTTTACAGTATATGTGTAAAATGGTGAGCGGAGGATCAACAGCAACTTGTAAAGGCAACTGTCACAACTCAACCAACGGGGATCAAAGAACTCCGTCACGATCAAAAGCAAGCGGTGCGCTCACTTTTCCATTGCGCAACCGTCGGGGGCTCGGATGAGCCAGACTCAAGGGCCCTTGTGCCAAAATGGTCACATGAGAGGGCCGCCATCTCATATCATGATATGCATGTTCCAATGCATACAAATTCACACGCCCTCATGGCGGTGCGAAGATGGGACCATGCTGTCAGCGACACTGTTCAGTCACGCAGCTCTCGGCTGAATCCGTACTTCTCAGCAAGACCTTCAAAATCAGGCTTCTTCCATTTCACCTTTTCAAGGTACATGGCAAAGTCCACGGCCTTGGTAATCTTGGATGGCACTTTTCCACCAGTACCATACTTTGACAAAATGAACTGGAGGTACTGACGCATGTCTTCTCCTTTCTTCGAATTCGTGCGGGCCGTCATGATCATTTGATCATACGTGAGGCTTTCAGCCTTCACCTTATCCATACGACAGATGGTCTGTCCCCATTTCTCTACGGTGCTGATTCCTTCAGGCAAGGGAATCAAGGGATCGGTCACATTGGCCACTGGGAACAAGTTCACCTTTCCAGCTTCATATCCCTTTGGGCTCACAGCAAGGTGCTCCGGTGTCATGGTTGAACCGGTAGGCTCATTGGCATTCAAGAGCTCCCACGGATTCGAGGCCTGAGAGGTCTCATCGGCATCCATGCGTCGCTTCGCAGCATCAGTCATGGCGGACATGGAGGCATCCACGATGACCTGAGCTCCCACAACATTTGGTCGGAGGTCTGGACGAATCTTCACCCAGTCGTTCACACGCTGGAGCAACTGTGCACTTTGTCCGAAACGGACAGCTCGATGGAGAAGGCCGGCACACATGCTAAGATCCTGATCCGTCAGTGGTGACCGGATGTGATATTCTTCATCATCGGTCTTTGCTGCTTTCGACATGATCCTGCGGGACTGAATGGGCGACACTTCACGGTCGTGCGCTCCTTGGAGCAAAAAGGCTGTGCAAAATTCGGTTTAACCGATGCGGCACAAGAAAAATGAGAAAAACAACCAGGACGACTCCTCAGCAACGAACTGGTTCGAGGTGGCTGGCAATGGATGGTTTCTCAACCTAACTAACAAATTCTTAAGTTTCACCAAGCAAATGTTGGATTCACTTCACAACATGCATGCATGGGCCCTAGTGCTCATCTAGTTGACGTTTCTCTGCTTCTGCAGCTCTAGCCTTGGCTTTTTCTTTCTTACCTGACTCTACTCCGGTGTGGATGGTGTATTTCCAAGTGTCAACGAGTTTATAGAAAGGTCCTGTGTCGGCTCGTAGTTTAGTCAACACGTCTGCACACATGAAAATGTTACTAGTCCAAAAGACCATGATGTTCTGCAAGGACATGCTTTCCTTTGCGATGGCATAGTCGATCTGAAGTCTCTTCTCTACGCTAATAGTAGGAGAGCTACACGATTTTGTGACTGCATCGAAGAAACCCTTGCTATCAACAACGAGGCATGCTGTCTTTTCTGGGACTCGTTCTCGAAATGTTCGAGGCGATTGGCCTTCTAGGATCTCAGCAAGCGGGGATTGAATCCACTCAATCGCATCAAGTCCATTCTGACCGGACATGGTTTCTGCTGCTACTGAGGAACGAACTACTCGTCGTAACTTCTTAGAACTCCAATCTACTATCCATACAGGGGATTCCTTGTTCTTCATGATGTCTTTGGTCGTAAGACATAGGATGTATCCACCTTGACTTTCACCGTTAGCTCTAGTACACCAGCCAGCATCAGCAATACACACGATGTGCCAATCTTTTACTGGAACGTGGCTAGGGAATTTCAAACAGATTTTTCTAGTTTTCATTTCCCTCACGGCCTTGTTGTACAAGTGGACGTGTTCAACTTTCCCCTTATCCTGAACCCCTTGAAGATACGAAGCCAGGAATGCCTGTTCCGGACGTGTCGAGTTCGACACCCAGGCTAACTGACCGGCGCAAGTTCTAAGGATAGAAGGATCTGTAAGGGACGTTGAAGCGTTTCCCAAAGTCTTCGTTTCAACATGTTCCAAATTCTCGATGTAATTTTCTTGTCCTACTTCAATTTCCATCGTATTTGGATTTTGTCGAATCTCTACTCCTGTATATCTTATTGTGAAAGTACGATAGTCACCGAACGGCAATTTCTTTCGGAGTCGGTCCAAGGCTTGGTCCATTTCCTTGCAACCTCCACCTAGTAGGTCATCTACGTGTACTCCACATATGCCTTTCAAAGTGTTATCGGACTTACTCCTCAACATAAACAAACATGGATCCAACTGGCTCTGGGTTAGCCCTGCTTCCTTAAGTTCCCTGGTCAGGCGGGAAAACCAAGCACGTGGTGCCTCAGCCAGGCCGTAGGCAGCCTTCTCAAGACGAAACAGGTCATCTGTACTCAAGTTCATCCATTGTTTGATTTCTGCTGGAGGTCGAAAGTAAATGTTTCTGCAAGATTCATCACCTGACAAAAACGCTGTTTTTATGTCGGCTCCCCATAGCTTCCACTTGGATGCTGAACAAATGGATAGAACAAGGTGCTTTGTTTCCTTACGCAAAGTTGGACTGTCTGTTGCTACCTTTCCTAGGTCCGGGTCCTGCCATCCTACCAAAACTAGACGTGCTTTTGGAGTTTTGGATGTGATATCAGGATCGGATGACTTTTTCCATACCAAGACCCACCTTGCTCTAATTATTCTTTCTGTAGGAATCCCTCTAGCCTTGCAAAGTGAAGTCACCTTATTGTCAATCCAGCTTTGCCATTCCTTTTGCATAGCTTGGAGAAACAGTTTCTTGTCGTGTGGATTGAGTTTGCGGAACTGGACTTCAACCCTTCTTTGCTTCGCCTTGGACTGCGGCGCAGCTTGCAAGCATTCTTCAAATTCCAGAGACACAGAGGATTCTCAGTGATGTCTTCGGGATGGACGTCAATGGAAAGTTCGAACACATGTTCTGCCTGTTGCAATCTGGCTGTTACCGCTAGTTCGTCTTCACCAGCTTCTGGAACGGGAACATCTATGCCAGATGGTTCGATCTCGTTCGATCGTGAGTCTACTTCAGGCATTACTTCATCGGTGTTATCGGGTCTATCGGATTCGGGCGGATTAGTGTCTGTCTCTGGTTCCAGGTGTGCAGGTACAGCACCTGGGTCAGGCATGAGCTCATCAAGCTCGTTGTGCATTTGAAAGCCTGACTGAGATCCCTCTTCTTCAAGAGGAACTGGCGGTTCGGTGGGTGCATAACTTGGAGATGAATCAATTTCAACAACCCTTCTACGTTTATCGGCTGGCTCAAGTCTATCCTCGGGGATCTCTTCAGGAGCAACAGCGGCAAATGGCTGCTGATTCAACTCTTGTTCATGCATACTGCCGAGAGGTGGAATCTCGCCTCGTGATCTCTTTTGCCAATATTCAGGGGAACGATAGAATCTGCGTCTTATCTTATGTGGTCTACCCTCCGAATCAGGTCTGTCATCGATGGTCTCAGGATGAGGTTCGGCTTCTACATCTTCCTTGAGTTCGAAGTCCTCTGGACCAGGGATGTCCTTTGTGAGATCATGAAAACGAGCGACGCCCTCCGACAATGATTTACCTGCAGCTTCCGTTTCCGGTGCCAGCTGGCCTAATGCAAGTTCTCTTGCAAGCGCTCGAAACTCAGTTTCGTCTTCGGACATTGGACGGAGGCCTTCTGGTCGACATCTATAGAGATAGCCATTATAGCTTGTCCAAACTAGGCGTGGTATGGGACGATTTGATGAACTTTCTACCCCAATTACTTTGGCAGGTCCTAACCACTTACCATGTCTTGTGCTAAGCTGACCTCTTCCTGCTGCTCGAAACATGTATACAAGTTGACCTTGTACGTATGGTCCTCGCATGGGACGATGTCTATAGGCTACAGCTCTTCGCCAAACATCCTTCGCATGTTCTTCATGAAAGGCCTTGGCCGCTTCTTCACGAAGGCGAATCTTGGATGCAAACGATGGATCTGACAGGATTTGCGACTGGGCAGCAAAATTTCTTTGCTCATCCAAGTCGGCAAGCATTCCCACATGGCGTGAGTCCCTTCCCAAGAACCATTGTGCTGGGCTGAAACCATGCTTTCGAAGTTGTTCATTACGGGTTGTTGCACACATTTCTATTACCTCCTCTGGTGGACGGTCAGTGCCTGGCCAACAACGATTGGCCATGTTCCTGAGAATGCGATTGGCAATTTCAACTTGACCTAGCTGATAGTGTGCTTCGGCAGCCGCATGCAACAACTGAATGCCATGGTGTGTTAGGTACTCTTGGAAATCCTGGGAGAGATTAGTCTTGGCAGGGTCCATGAATATTATCTTAGGAGTGCCGTAGGGACGTGTCCACACCTTATGGAAAGCTACTGACAGCTGATTGGGACCGCGTTCAACGATGATCTGTTGTGCGAAACCTGTGGCCATATCAACACATGTCAACACGTTGATCTTGACTTCGGTCATTTTCCCATTACGTCCCTCTCTCTTGAGTTCTACTTGAACAAAATCAATACCCACTATGTCATTCGGGTTCTCTGCATGGGGGATTGCACTCTTACGATATGACGGTGGAGGCTTGAGTTCATTACAAATGGGACACTGGAAGTTCCGAATGCAGTCCACAATTTCTTGACTGGCTTGGCAACGGTTCGCGAGCCTCAACATTTGTTCTGTCGATGCATGACCTGTGTTCACACGCAATTTACGAACCAATGCGGACACTCGCAGCTGCTTGGGATTCAAACTTCGGCTGTTCGAATTTGGCTCGTCATGGTCTGGCAGTCTCTCTGATCGATCTTCTATCTCTTCTTCTAGTTGATCTTCTTCTTCATCTTGAGCTAAGATCTCTACTGCATCTGGACCCGAATGTCCATGGAGACTTTTGGCAAGACCATCGGCCATGACACGTGCAAACTTATTAGGATATGTCTCGGCCCAGGATGTCAGATTTCTACCTTTGTAGTTTCCTTCTAGATGATCATGACCATGCTTATGATCGCACCGTAATGGGACAAGGTGCTGCATCAAAGACTCCTGAGTGCTGACAATCCGAGTTGGCTTCAAGACAGGGATGTTGGATTTGGGGCTACGGAGCCCGAGTGCACATTGGTCAATTCGGATTGACCAGGCTGGTCCAAGTACTAACTCCTGCCACATATCGGACGAGTGCGGATTCTCAGCATGTACATGACCTCCAAGGATGGTTTGGAGATGCCATGTTTCCGAAACACATTGCAGATGTCTTCCAGCTTGATGTCTCTTTTTCAATACTTCTTGTTTCCTAGACTCGGAAAATGCCATATTGAACCTCGACCAGGGACCCCAGCACTTACATGGGGGAGCAAACCAAATGTGATCAGGCTTTGTCAAGGCTACCAGGTATAGGAGATTTCGTCTATCCCTCAACCTACCAAGATCATGTCCATAATCTATCCCAATTTGGATTGCTGTTTTCTGGTTTCTCTTTTCGAACTGTTTGGACAAATTGGCTGTTCCTGTGAAAACTTCTATGAGTCCAACCTTGGAGTCAAGTTTACTAGCCTGGTTGCCCAACCAGTGGCGAAGTTCTGAAAGCACTTCCTGCCGATTGCTCTGCAGTCGCGACAAAGCCATGCGTACACCGACACGGCGTGCAGCTGTGATTGCGTCTTTCAGTTTCGTTTGGGTTTCTTTTGGAACATCCTGCAAGTCAAGATCTACCCAGTCAACCTCTTCATACAAAGTTTCGAGGGTGTTTGATTGCATGGTGTATTCCCAATCCCCTTCTATGTCATCATACAACAACAATCACATTGGTGCGCTGATGGCGTCGGCTCTGCTGGTTCGACACGATCGGACTCACTGCCGGCACTCTCAGGTTCAGAGGGTGCTTGCTCGGATCGAAATGCAAAGATCGCAACCTGCATTGGGTTGACAGGTCTTCTGACCCGTCCGGCTGGACGAACGATCCATCCTGACATGTGCATGTTTCCATCTTTATCCATAGAGACTATCTTCATATCAAGTGAAGTTCGTTCGGCTTCGGCAGGAATCCTTTCTAGTCTAGGTTTATATGCTACATAGGCATGCACCACCGGGTGTTCGGGACATGAAAACAATTGGGACAGCTCGGCACGAAAAGCACTGCAATCGACGTTTCCTCGTTTGGTATGTTTACACACAGTTTGAAACGCCCTCCGAGTATCACACGGGGTTGGCTCCATTTTTGGTGCACTTAAAACACTGTTTTTGTTCGTGTCCTGTCCTCTGAGTTCTTGGTGGTGCTCGAGATCAACGGAGATGGACTGGCGGTCCATCGCTTGGGCTTCATGCGGATTGGGCTCATTTGTATTCGAGTCGTTGAGGACTGTCTCCCACTCAGCAACCTGTGGCACCAGAGACAACAGCAGATGGCCATTTGCGGCCTGTTTCAGGGGTACATCTTGCATACCATGTTTTGGACTCGTGATGGTCATTCGGCCCAAGTCCAGTGTGGCCTGCATACCCTCCAACACCCTTCGTGACAGCAGGAATGGCGCGCTTCCAGGAACAACATATGTCGTGATATTCCCTTTCAACGAACCCAGCTGTACTGTCCACTTCAAACCAACAGCTGTTGTTTCGCTCTGATCATTGAAGCCACGAAGCTCAACTGTAGGCATTGTGACACGCACGGGTGGAGGAAAATTGCATTGTCTGAAAACCTGCTCATATCTCTGTGCTGTTTCCTCGCCAACAACGGATGTTGTACAACCAGTATCAATGATTGCAAAACCCGATGGAATTGAGGCCAGGAGAATTTCCAGTTCAGCAGCGGTGGACTCGGTCAGGGCATAGTTGAACTCGGTCAATGTCCTGTCAACAATTTCCACAGCTTCTGTCAGGTTGGCGTCCTCACGCCTCGGTGGTTTCTTCTTTGGGTCCTTTTGTGGCGACTTCTTGTCAAAGGACCTTTTCTCATAGCGTGGTGTTTTGGACGATGCAGCCTGAGTTCCCAGTGGAGCCTGGGACTGGCCGCCTTCGGTGGGTGGAATGGCCACCACCGGCATGTATGGTTGTCGTGCTCTTTTGATTTCCCTCACCTTCTTCTTTGACTCCTTGTAGGTGCGAAACTGTTTCTTGAATTCTTTCTTTGCTTTCTTCTGAATCTCATAGATCTCCTGCAGCTCTTCCTCAGAACCTGAACCCAGAGATGTTTCGCCACCCTCAACTTGGTAGGCCTCTTCACCAGACCCGGAGTCAGAAAGTGGGTCGACGGAGGTGGATGAAGCTTCAGCAACTTGTTCAACAGCATAGGCTTCGCGTCGTGGTCTCACCTGTCGACGATCGTCCAGCCGTGGTCGCCGGTCATCCAATCTCTCCTCATAGTCACTAGCACGCAAAATCTTCTCAATGTCAACAAATCGACTGGAGCCGCCTGTTGAACGAATGATGTGGCTGCGTTGCTCACGCGACAAACCAAACTTTCTCATGAACAAGTGTCCCAAAACTGACTGTGGAAAAATCGGTTTTGGCTTTGTATGCGACTGCTCCAACGTTCCAAGAAGACGTCGCATACGGAGATGATCTTTTCGCTGGTCACCTTTCTGAGTCCCAGTGGACTTCCCCTGTGAAGCCTTTGAGCTCGACTTCGCACTTCGGACCGATGGAGTGGATCCGGTCCGACGATGAGGATCAAGGGGAGGATCAAAAGGACCTGGAGGAGGTGCTGCTCTGGCCTTGGCTTCTGGCCGGACTTCATCTCCAGCTTCTTGTTCAGTTTCATCAGTTTGTTCATTGGGATCGTCTGGAGGTAGGGCATGTTCGTCCGACTCTTCCAGACTACTCGAATCTTCCTTTTTCTTTTCTTCTTCGACTGCGGACTTCGGTTGCTTCTTCGACAGCTGACGCTCCTGTGAGATGAGCGTTTCCAGGCGATGCAGACTTGTCTTGAACCGGGATGTGAAGGAAGTGGTTCCCTCATGTCCTTTCCGCTTCAACCCAAAAAGGAACTCATCTATGGCCTCGTGGAGCTCGGTCTCGGGCAAATAACGGTAATGCTGATCAAGCGTCCGAACAATTTGCAGCCAGCCTTGTTCACATCGAAGGTCAGCAATTGGAATGTTTTCGGTCGCTTTCCAAGCTTCGCCAGACAATCTTCCGAGGACTCGAGGACCGGCCAGGTGTTGTTGCTTGTCCTCAAGGGATGCAACACCAAGGATCAGCTTGCGTCTGAACTCACGATATCCGCTTGGCTTCCCATCGAAGTAGAGGTCTTTGAGAGTGTCTTTGTAGTCCATGGCTCAAACTGCTAACAACAAACAACAATGTTCCACAACCAACAAGCAATGCTCAATGCTCAACAATCAACGTCAACTCAACCTTGCACCACTGCACAAGCAATGTACCTAGATGGCACGAGCTGCTCTGCGGTTTGCACCGCACCCGGGATCAGGCCGGGACCTCACAAAGCAATCCTGGAGCTTGGCAGCTCCGCTACCATGTAAAATGGTGAGCGGAGGATCAACAGCAACTTGTAAAGGCAACTGTCACAACTCAACCAACGGGGATCAAAGAACTCCGTCACGATCAAAAGCAAGCGGTGCGCTCACTTTTCCATTGCGCAACCGTCGGGGGCTCGGATGAGCCAGACTCAAGGGCCCTTGTGCCAAAATGGTCACATGAGAGGGCCGCCATCTCATATCATGATATGCATGTTCCAATGCATACAAATTCACAATATGGGATAAGCCTTTGGCCATTTATAGGCTCCACCTCCCACGCCAGGCCGTGCGGCGGCTCCTGGCCGAGGACCCGCCCGCCGCTTCGGAGCCCGACGACCTGGGCGTGACGCCCTTGATGTTCGCCGCGGCAGGTGGTGAGAGGGCGGTGGTGCGCGGTGTGTTGAGATGCGCGTGGGGAAATGGGCGAAATGGAGGACCTATATAGAGAGATGGCCGAATGAATTGAGGAAATGGGTGCTGAGTAATGGCTGCTGTTTGGAAGTCTATACTTGTCAGCGGACCAAAGGCCACTACCAGGACCTTCCAACAGGTGGTTTTTGGACACCCCTACTTAGCTCAGACCAAGGCTATTTATATATAGACACCTTAGAAGGAAGGTCCTGGTATGGTCCTGGTATATACATGGTGAAGGGGCTCAGGACGTCATGTGTCAAACCCGGGGTGGAACAGTGGAAAGCGGTGCACAACTGAAACGGACTCCAACCAATTCCGGGAGTCCAGTTTGATGACTCATGTTTTGTGGTGGTCTGACTAGCAGTTATGTTTGGTCTCCTGGAATTTCTGGAAGAAGAGTGGCATCAGACAGCCAGAAGAAGCGGCTGCAGAAGACCTAAGGCGTCCAATGTCTTTATCGTGACCATTCTGGAGAAACAGATCAAGGTGTATGGCGACTCCACAGTTTTGGACCGGATGAAGACCATGGCCCAACAGGAAAAGTGCAAACAACTTGTGATGTGCAAACAACTTGTCATATGAAGTTCATGTGTTCATCTTATACATATGAGGGCCGGGCCCTTTATACATGACAAGTTGTTTTCGCAGTTGGATGTGCCGGCCAAAGCACCAGGCTCAGACTCAAAAGGCCTCCCAAGCATGGGCCGGGCGGCAAGATCTCCTCGATCACCCCAGCAGGAAGCACAAGAAAGGTCGAAGCAGGACGAATGCGACCCATGGGACTGCCATGTCGGACTGCCGAGAAACGGCCAGGGGTGGTGCCAGGGGGGTCTGGGGCGGCAGTCCGTCCTGGCAGTCCCACGGAGTGTATGGGATACCGGGATACCCATGAAACGCTTGTGCCCGGTTTTGTTTGCTACAGACCTCATCATACCTCTATACTGTTCTGGGTATACGGGACAAAGATGGACAAAGTTCCTTTGGGCACCAGGAGCATCCAAGGGGTGTCCAATGGACTACCCCACACTACCTATAGGCTTCCATTGGGCACCCCTTGGATGGTCCAGATGCCAGATATGGTTTCCTCACACTTATCCAGTGGATCCCAGGTGCAATCACTAGAGATTCAGGAGCTTCTCCGGCCGCAGCTTCGGGTCTCGTTGAGATTTTGGGTTGAGATCTTTTTAGGTAGAAAAAGAAGCGCGAACGACTTCCAGCTTCGGACCTGGGAGTCCTGGAGATTGCCACTCTCAGATCCACTTCTTCGGGTGAAAGAGCGCCCCCGCGTAGAAGGGGCGGAGGGGGGCCAGAGTGGTCCGGAACAGGTGGCTCGGTGGAAGTCTGCGAGCTGCTTCTGGCCGCGCAGGCCGATGTTTCCTCGGAACCCGCGGGGCCGCGGCGGAGGGGTCGGGCATGACGTTTGGGGGGGCACGGCGGCCGCGGGGTGGCGGACTTGGTGGCGTAAGCTGGGGGTACTCAGGAAGAAGGTCGTCGATTGGTGGTGGACGTGGAAAGGCTGGTTGGTCCGGAGGAGGGCACAGCAGGGCGACCGAACCCACGACTGGGGTCCGACTGGTCCGGCCCCGGTCAAACGTGAGTCTTTATCCCAGACACGACCCATGGGACTGCCATAGGACTGCCGATCAGGCCAGGGGCGGTGCCAGGGGGGTCAATGGGGCGGCATATATGGCAGTCCCATGGAGTGTTTGGGTATGTTCGTGTTTGCTCTTTGGGAGGCATTGAGTGGTATGTGGGGCATGATCAGCTCCAGTAAAAATATCGCAAGAAGTGAATGATGTTTTTGACCTGTTGGAGGGTCCCAGCCAGCTTTTTGGTTCAATAGATTGATTTGATGGATTGAGAGTACCAACACCCAACAGGTCTTCCGTGGTGGCTTTTGGTGACTTGTTCAGGTGGCAGATGGTGACCTGTGAAGTCGAGTGCTGGTAGATGGCACAATCCCCAAAGTTGGTGGTTTGTATGGACCCCCAAATGTGTCTAAGTCACCTTGGAGGAGAAATGCAATTTACTTTGAAACGACCTGTAGGGCAATGTGAGTGACATGTGCGGTGAACCCTCACTCACGTTCCATACCCAAACTGAAGGATTAGAAGGCCTGCACTGATTCGGTCGGCTTCCCAAGCTCCAACTGACCCGTTTGAAAGTCAAATCTTTTGAGCATGCTGGCGCGGAATCATCGGATGCAGCATCGCATGCATCACATCACTTCTCGCAGCATCTTCGAGAACCTCTTGGGGCACCAACATCGCACAAGCACATACACCCACGGCATCCATTTTTCTGCGTCTACCACTCAACCCCCGCCCGTTCCTTCCTCCAGAGCACGGCTCCAGGCCTCCTTGGAGAGCGTCACCTTGCTGGGCTGGACGGCACTCACCCGGGCCGCCCTGCGGCAGCGGACGGCGGTGACCCAGTGGCTGCTGGAGAGGGGCCAACGAGCTCCGGGATCGGATGCAGAGAGGGTGGGGGGCAAAACCTCACTAGACCCTAGGCCTCCCAGTACCTGAAGAGGTACTTGGAGGTGTAGGGATAGTGAGGCTCACGAAGCTCCAAAACCGGGGTTCAACGATCCGATCGATCGATCGCTGCGTTGCGCCTTGTGGTTGTCTGCTTCTGGGCATGGCACCCATGGTGCTTTGGTGGGATGTCTCTGGAGACAATGCTCACCCCCTGAGCGGGGTGAGCTCCGCCCTGCTAGGGGTGTCAAAGCTTATAGATCATGAAGCTACCAGCACCTGAAAAAAGGGGGTTCACCGATGGAAGCCCCTACACTACTAAGGCACCTCCATTGGACACCCCCTTGAAGGTCCAGGTACCATGTTCAGATTCACAATCGCGAGAAAGGTAGCGTACCTGGACCTTCAAGGGGTGTCCAATGGAGGTCCCTTAATAGTGTAGGGGCTTCCATTGGAGATCCCTTTGAAGGTGCTGGTACGTAATATTAGCGTATCATCGTGCCCTGGGATTTCCCCGCGTCCAGGCTCACTCGGGGGTGCTTCCGATAGGCGAAGAGGTCGGAAGTCTTAGTGCGAGAGCATGAGCCTTGTGTGCAAGGCCGGGTTTTTTGCCGGTCTTTGCATGTGCATGTGGGCTGGTGGGACGCATTTTTGGGCCGTACTTCCTCCGAGGGGAGGCATCACCGCCGTGGAATTGCGAAGACCAGGGAACGCCCCCTGGTCTCCTGAGGAGAAGGAACGCTCGAAAGAAGGAACGCTTGAAGCGACTCTCCGAGCGGAAAAAGGAGGAGAAACAGATTGCAAAGCTCCAAGGATCAGCTGAGTTGGGGAGTGAACCACAGAAGAAGGATGATCCCACTAAGTCTAGGCCGTGGGATAGTTGCTCGGCTTGGAGAGCTTGGAGTGGACCTGTAGATCCGTGATGAGGAGAGGCACAACCAGGAGTCTGATTGGGCTTGGGGCAGGCTGGACATTTCGTGGCAGGCACAGCACTTTGTCGACTGTGAAGCGCAGATTTCGTGACATTAACCAGGCATGGGTCACCAACGAAGAGTCTATATTGGCCTTCTTCCAACCCACTTTGGATCAAGTCTGCCTCTTGCCTTTGGCCGGGAAAAAACAGCAGCTACAGGGAACTCCTGTCACTTGTACACGGAATTCCTGAGCCAACCTTCAGGAAACTTGATCCCATCAAGACCATTATAAGCTATATATGGTAATTATAAGCTATATATATGGTAGTGACACAAAAGGCGGACACATCTTAAGAAAGAATCGAGAACCCCTAACAGTAAACTGTTTGGGGAAAAACTCGAAGAACCACAACAACGGTCCCAGCGGGCCTCCCCAGTGGCCACTGACCTGGGGCCTTTGGGAAAACGCCGTCGTGCTGGCAGAGACTTGTCCCAGAGACTGGGGCACTCGACTCCAGATCCAGCAGCACTGTTCCCCAAGGATCCCCCCCAGACCAGGTGAGCCGAAAAAAGCAGCGAGGTGAGCCGGCATCAAGGTGTTTTCTCGTGTGGCCTCACTGAATGCTGAAGAACCAGAGTGAAACGCCGGCCATTTGTGATCCCTAGTTGGAATGAGAGTGTGGGCGGACCAAGAAAACTAAAGCGATCAATGAGTTTCTTACGTTCGTGTTTTTTATAACTGCAACGCTTCTTGGGGAACCCCCTTCCTGGGAGCACGCCCTTTTGCCCAGGTCCCTTGACATCCAATAAAAGCACCATCCATCATTAAGTGGCCCCCAGCAGGTCGAATCTTACCAACATATAAATCATGTACACCAGGAGTCACAAAGGGGCCAAAGGGGTGGTTTTTAGTCCCATCCAGTGAGTGGATGTGACAGGGGCACCCCAACTGCCTCCATGGATCGCACCCCGTCGAACGTGACTGCTGGTAAATAGGTTTCTGGACTTGCAGGAACCATCAAGATCAGCCCAGAACATATTACTATTGCTACTTCAAGGTGCAAAGGTGCAAAGCGTTTTGCAGTCACAGGGTTGTCCACTTGTGCTGCAATATGCATTGACCATTGGTGCGTTTCTCTTCCGAGTGGATCCACATGGTGCATTCTTGTTGAACTCCCACCTCAAGAGGATGGATCTGGTTCACGCTGGTTTACCATATTCATTCGCTCATACCTACTCGTTTGGCAGGCAAAACCGGTGCGATTTAGTGGTACTAGTCGGTCGTTGACCTGTAACGACAGATCTCCCTTCTTTCCACGCCCTTCCCTGGCAGAACGCCCTCCCCAGGGTCCAACCGCGTTTTACGGCGGAGGACCACAACCCACCGGCCACCGTGAAGGACAACGACCTAATGGTGGCGTGGCGGTGTTTGGGACGGTGGAGGGACATGGCGCCCAGAAAGGAATGCAAAGCCTTAAGACCCCAAGAGGTTAGCAGCATTGAGCAGCTATAGATCAAAAGGTGTAGTTACTTGGGTTCCATTCGGTTTTGTTCCAGCTGTTGGTCATCACCCACATCACCTTCCAAAGTGGTCAGGACCAATCATCCTCAGGTCTTGCCGGGCCCGGCGGCTTGGCCATGCGAGCGGGACACGTTGTACCTACCCTAGCCCTACAAGTCCAGTCTGACTCAGCAAAACCTAGCCTTTGACCTCCAAACGAGTAGTGAGTAGATCCCCTTGGTTGCGCCATACTGAAATCCTAGGGGTAGACCACCAGATTTCAGAAACAAAAACAGTTCAGAAAAAATCTCTAGAAAAAGGAAATCAGGTAGGGCCCCAGGAAATTACAGCAGAAATGAGGCTTTCTTGAAATCCTTTTGCTCAAGGTTAGGCGCCAGGATTCCAAAAACACATTAGACTACAGGATTTTACTAAAGCTGTAGGATTTCACAAGGTAGAGATACTGGGGTTGGGCTAGGATTTTAGAGATACTGGAGAGTACGCTTTTCGTGGACAATTTTTGTCAACCTTTTGCTGTGCCCCAGCTCCGAAACACACAAAGAAGCGGCACAATGCAACCAAACTCTCAAGCACAACGACACCCTGCAGCGGGACCAGCACCTACGCTCCAATGCGCACACGCCCACGCTTTTTGCAGCCTGGAAGCTTGTATCCATCGAAAAAAGATGTCCAGGGGGGATTCGAACCACAACGTCACCGAATCGCCTAGTGGTACGTCGCTCGAACTTCCCCAAAATTTAATAGTTTCGGAAGGCACAACACCTCCAAATTTCCAAGAATTTTCGTTGCAAAGCCTCCAATTTCCGGATGAATCTCGGAAACAAATTGAGTCTTCGGTCATTTTGATTTTCTCTTACCTTTGCACCGAAGCCCGGCGCACAATTTGAAACGGTCACGTAGGGGGTTTTGTCTTTCAGTAACAAATATGCTCGCTGTTTGGGAGGGCACTGGAGGGACCAGCTAATGTAGATACCCAGGATTTAGTTATGCATTTGATCAGCCTGGACTCCTTGTTTTTTCCTTGGTTCCCAACCCCTTGACACACGTTGGTCCAAAGTATTAATATAACAAGCACCTCTTGGGAAAAAAAAACCTAGGGCACCACTGAAAAACTAGAAAATCACCTTGGTTCGGTAGGATTTTTAATACGCAAAATTGTGGGGATCTACCTTAACTTAGCTGCCGGTACCAAGGGGGATGTGAGTAGTGTACGACAGACTCCAGGAAAGTGAGGTCATTGACCTGTAGGGTATATAAGGTTCAGCGAATGGGGATTTTTGACCCAAGGAGGGATAGTGACAAGTGACAAGTCTTTCTTCGGCCCTTTTTGTACGGAGGCTTCGGAGTTTGGGGACTTGGTGGCCCTTCATGTGACTTCCGAGCCCAAAACCCACCTGAACTGGGCCGGGCTCTCCCCCCCGAAACTTGTTCGAAGGCCGGGGATCCAAACCTTAGATACCATCCCCCAAGGAGCCCGTCACATTCATTGAAGTGCCCACAACATATAGCACCACGCACCACATGAAGGTCCTGCCCCCCCAAAAAAGAAGCCCGCCCGCGGTCGCTCTGAAAACCACAGCCGCTGAGGTGGTGGCTTTCACTGGAAATGACCAGACTTTCCGGATCCTGCTCGCCCACACGTCGGAGCCGAAGATCCTCCACGTGCGCGATGAAGCCAGGCGGGAGCCGGAGCGCAGCAGACCGCAGATGACCGTGACATGAAATAGGCCGATGGGACGGGACGGGACGCAGGAGCAGCTGCCCTGGGAACAGGGGATTGTTTGATTTTGTTGGGAGGAATTGGTGACACCGCTCAAATCCAACAGGTGGAACACCTAGACCTCTTAGTGGATGAAATTTCCCTTCGTTCTTACATGTTCCAACATCTGGGGCTGTGTACAGCATGAGTTCCGGTCGCAGTTTCCCGGTTTGCGGAGGAAAACAGTGTGGGTTCGGTTGGAAGAGGTCATTTCTTCAAAAGGCTCGAGGCTTTGGTTCACGGGTTATGGCTGCATGTTTTTGGTTTGACGAAACAGTGGATGACATGAGGGGAAAAACGGCGGATTGAGCGGATCGCGCACTGCAAAGGGAACATCAGAGCTCTCCTGCTCAGGAGGTCATTTTCTGGGTGCATTTGGATCGCGCTCTTTCAACAATATCCGTTCCCTACTAGTAACAAGAAGCTACTAGTAGCTCCTGGCATTGCTACTGGGAGCAAGAAGCTACTTGTAACAAGGGCCTCGTTGTTTTTGTTTAACCTCAGTCAGACTGGGCAGATCTGGTCGGCGAATTGCCTGACCGGGCATCTGACCAGCGTTTTTGGTCGTGTGGGAGGCTAAACCGGCCGTTCGGAGCGCGAGTTTCTCCTCGGTGTAGCTGGCTCTCAAGCTCTAGCGCTCCAGTCGTACCGAACCTCAGGTGAGGACGGTTCGACACTGTAGGTGCCAGGGTCCGTCGGGTCCAGTCGTTCCGAACCTGAGAAAACACGGCCGAAGACGGTGACTTCCAGTCGGCGTTGTCCTGCAGGAAGGGCTTGCTGCACTTTGCCCTCACAGGTGCCGATGTGACCGGTGTGACCGGCGGAGGGCCAAAGACCACCCGGTGGAGGTTTGTCAGTTATCCAGAATTCAGCATACCTAACCAACCAGCAACCAAACCGAACAAAAGAGGCCCTTTGTCCGAAGACCCTGCATTTTTTCTGGTTTTTGGATGGTCTTGGAATACATACCAACTTCACCATTTACCTTTGGGCACCTTTTGCAGATCGAATCTGTTGCTAGATCGAGTGTGGTCAGGTATGGTTTACGGGGGGCATTATCTAGGCCTCTAGGCCAGACTGAGTGAAAAGAACATCGGACAACATGACAAGATGGAACAACAGGAAATATATATACAGCTTCAAAAAATGATGGACGGGCAAAGTGGAACACCTAGCAGACATGAAAAGGAGAGACAAGCTGAATGAAAAGGTTGCAAGAAGGAGATTCAGGGTGATGGCGGCCTGTTTTGTACCACGAACTGTGCAGGACATCAAGGAACCCATGTGCCCACCGTGAAAAAACAAGACGTCGGATCAAGACGCTGCCCGCGCCGCATGGGGGACAGTGGAAACTGGTCTTGGCACCCTTTCAACAAATCCATATTTTGACCATTAATTCAATTCGATTTGTTCGAGCCTTGCTAGTTCACCTACCCAGGTCCCACATCTCGCAAACGCCCGATCTCACGAAAGAGGCCGAACCTAGAGATGCCCTTTGTCACTAGTAGCGTCCTTGTTCCTAGTAAGGCCAGGAGCGCCCCTACTAACTCTTTGCTACGTAGCGATGCCCCTTGCGAACCTAGTAGCTTCCTTTCGCACCTGGACGGCCCCTTTCGGACCCACCGACCTCTTCGTCTTCCACTGCGCCGGCGCCGCACGGCGCTCTCCGCGAAGGCTTGGCGTACTTGAAGCGCTCGGCCTCCTGCCACGCGCAGTGCGTCGCCCTGGCCATTGAGGCCATGGGGACGGCGATCTGTGGCGAGGCACAGAGGCGAGGCGATCGGAGGGAACGTGGTCACCCCGGTCGGTTGGTGCGAGGAAGGTGATGTTTTTGGGGTCACAGTGTTGGGGATGCAAATGGGTTTGGTGTGGTGGTTGGACTTGTAATTTGTATTAGGGGTTATATAGCCATGGTTTTATGATGTTTTATGTTTTTAGCAGATGGCATTTAGCAGATGCCAGAACCAAGAACTGTCAGAATCATCCAAACCTGTTGATAGATTTGGAGCATATCAAAGAGTCTACAGGCTAACATATGATGGAATATAGTTTAATGTTCTTTCATCAAAGCGACACTGCCCATGAGCAGAATTACCGCCAGATTGATTTACATAAGCATCAAATCGCCTTCAAAGGACTTGCTCAGTAAGGTTTAAGGACCCTTATATACTGTAAATGATTGGTGTTTTCAAATCCTTAAGTCTATAACATCTTTAAGCTTCCAAATCGTTTCAACATATCTATCATGACAACCACTGACTGACACTGCTCCCTGCTCCCGGCCTGTTTGTTCGGAGGCGAAGTGTGACCCGCGCTCCGAAGACGAGCGTTGCCGCCATCTTCGGTCGGAAGGCCAGCGCTGGGGTCGACGGGATGGGGCAGCGACCAGAAGAAGAAGAACTGGGACGGCTTTTTGGAGCGGACATCCTTCCCAGACACGACCGCCATCTGGGACTGCCGGACTGCCGAGTTTCACGGCCGATCGGGGTGGTGGAAAAGGGGGGGGTCTGTCTGGGGCGGCAGTCCTATGGCAGTCCCATGGAGTGTCTGGCGTTTGGATTTTTTTCGTGGATTTTCAGTGATTTTGAAGCATCCAGGATGCTTGACCTTGCTGGAGGTGATTTGGGGGGAGCTCTAGTTTGCCCAGATTCGTCAAGTAACTGAAATCTCCTAGGGAAAAAAAATGCACGAGCTTGGAACAAATATGGGAAGAAAGGACTGGCTATTTTCCATGGAGCCATAGAGGTGTTCACTGTGGACCTGACAGCCTCCCAATGGGGAACCACCACAATGACTCCTCAGTCAAAAACCTCATGACCCCGTAAATGGACTTGAGTGGCGTGTCGCGTGCTGGCTGGGACGGCTGCGGACGGTGACTTTGAGGGCTGAAACCGGCGCGGCAACAGGTATGGAACGTTTTAAGTGCTCAGCGGTTCCCTATTGTTCCACGTTCCATCAAATGAACTACGTACCAGGAGTCATATGTCGGGGTGGTGTTTAGTGCCATCCAGTGAGTGGATGTGACGACGGGGCACCCAACTCCTACCTCCATGGATCGCACCGCGGAGCTCACGTGACTGCTGGTAAATAGGTTGTTCGACACACAGACATGCGGCTGCAGCGATTTGTTTGTGCCAGGTTTCAACGAGGCCGTTCCGGTACTAGCGCATTTCGTCCACTGCATGGGAGTGCCTGGATGAAAGCAAGTGGGTGAGGAGAGTGCTGATGAGGTGGATGGAGTGATTCACTGATGGGCAATGCGAGTGAGTCAACGACATAACAAGTACTAAAGATACACTGACATAATCATGCAAGTCCATTCACTTCCATGATTGTTCCCAGGGTCACACTCACCCCCTGCCTTCATCCATTCTGGGAGGCCGGGAGCGATCCGATCCAATGGGGTGTCCGGCCGCGCTATACCAAGACGATGGACTGGCGCAAGCTCCATGGCTCCTCCAAAACCGCACCCTGTGAGAAGAAAGTCCTTGTTCCAATTCCTTGAGAAGTGTGTAGATATGGAAGCTTGGCCGAAGCTTGGCCAGGAGGTAATTTTATTCAGATGCTTTGGGGGTCAATGTGATGAAGATTCCGTACATGCCATGCTTTGGGAATGCCATGGCCGCAATAGTGGACCATCTTCGGTACCCTGCGATGGTGCAACGTCTGCCTCCTGCGATGCATCCATTCGTTGGCCGCTTCTCGTCCTGGCGTGATTTTGTCACACCACAAGGAAAACTGGGCCAACGACGGCCTGGATGAGTCCGAGGAACACCTCCAGATGGTGCAAAGGTGCTTTCTTTGCGCCGAGCGCGTGCTCGCGGACGCAGCGAGTCAACGTGCGTGGCACTGCCGGCCTTCTTTTAGGCCAAGAGCGGATCAATTAGAGCCAAGTGATGGACCAGGAAGTAGAACAGACCTGGAGTTGCACATGTTAGAGTACTAGTTCGAAAGAGTTCCATGTGTAGCTCTGGGGAGGCTATTCCAAACCTGGGAGGCCACTGGTCAGCCCTGCATCCTTCGACTGGTCGAAGTGCAGGTTTACGCACTGATTCAACCAGACCATTTCGGCACATTGTGATGTATTGCATTTTCAACATACAGCCCCCCAGGAGTTCCCTTTTTACTCGAGTGAATGAAGAAATGGGCCCTCGAAAGGCCGCCACCCAACTCCACAGAGCTCCTGGCTTTGGCTTTTTCCTTCATAAGAGGTCAACGGTTGCAATGAATGATCCCTAATAATCGACTGGACTATTTGCCGCCAACACTGGGGTAATTTAACGATGTTTTTCACTCCTTGAAATACTTGATCATGGAAGTGGAAATGCTCCCTTGGATGTCCACCTTCATCTACATACCACAAACATTTGGTTTTCCACTTCCATCATTTCTGGCAGTGTAAGGGTCAATGTAGGTGAATATTCCATGCGTGGATGGTTAATCGAAGCCGCGAAGCTGCTACCAGTGAAGGAACCCCAATCACCACCTGGAAACAAAACCCAACGGCTGCACTGAGCTGGGTTCCAGAGCTGCACTCTTGCACCCAAACACAAGCAATGCCTGATCTACTGACTGAGCTTGGTGTAAACGGGAAAATTCGACACGGCCGTCTCTGACGTCGTTCAAGCAGAACGGGGAATCCAAGCAGACCATTTACAGTGGTTTCGGGGTAGATGGCACAAGTCCCCCAAGAGTCCGCATATGGTCCATAGATCATATAACGCCATAAGGCAAGGCTCCTCCATTTTTTGGGGATTGTGGCACCATGTGGCACCTATCCTCAAATCCACTGCGCGTCAACCTGTTTCAAGCCATTCATCCTGGACCAATTGGAGTTCCACACTGAAAAGAACATCCTCAACCGCCCACCGCCCCAGGCTGTGCCGTTTGCGGGCGGATGCGAACCTGGAGGGCCCTCATGGGACTGCTTTGCAGCTGGCAGAGCTGCAAGGATTTACGCGAACGCACCAGGTGGGGGCTCTCCATATCAAATCATATCAAGATACCTGGTGTATCCTGGTGTTGGTGGGTTGCTTGGGGGATTCTGCACGTGATATGCTGTGGAGGCATGTGCCATGCGATGCATGCCTTGACCAGCGTGTTTTGGTCATAGTAGTCAGGGGATTGTTCAGTTTTTTTTGATAGATTGATCAGGGCATTTGGGGACTGTTCATGCTTAACCTACACAATCACCATGCGGTCTGCGTGTATGATGTCAGTCTGCGTGTATGATGTCAGCTGGTGAGGCTTTGATGCGGCATGCTCAGACACTTGCCGAAGCGAAGGCCGATTTTGTGCGATGTGTGCGGGGTGTCATCTTGTGCGGGTGCTTGACATTGATCAAGCATCCATGTTCTGTCAGTTTTGATCAGCTCTTCAGATAGAGAAAAGCTATACAAGCGTGTCACCACTAGAAATAGGATGAAATAGGTTCCTATAGGCGCTATCGGCGCAACGCAGCTGAACGACCCAACACACTGAGTGTCTCAGTTCGGCTGACGACGACCCAATGGCACTATTGAATAAATCTTGGGGAATTCTCCCCTGCTATTCGGACCACATGGAACCCCAGTTCACCACGTCAGGTTGGTATGCGGAGAATGGTCGAAACCACCGGTCAATTCGACCCGGTTCCATGTGGTCCGTTTGCGGGAGGGTAGCTGATGGCCGTTCCTGGTCAAGGGAAGCAATGAACCAAATGGTGTTCAAGGTCGTCAGGGGACCTGGTTCACATGAGTCACACCCACCCCCAAGCATTCTACCCCTATGGATCCACATACCTTCTCAGGTACGGTGATTGGAGACTATTTATGTAGGCTTGGGGGGGGCCATAGGGTACATTGACCCCATTGACTCCCTCTTTCACCACCCCAACTGACCGCTTTGGCTCTGTCACTTTGGCCGTGTTTGGACTCGCGGCCCACCGACTCCCATGCCGCAGGTTCCGCAGCAGCCGCAGGTCCTAGTGCCGGCGCCGCAGAGGGCGGGTCCGAGCGTGCCGCGGCTTGGCAGGCTTCAGAAGCTGGTGATGCGGCTCGGCAGCACAGGGTCTTCGAAAGGGTGACCTGTGAGCCTTGGTGGGCTCCATGGCAGAGTCGTATTTTGCAAGAGTGAAGTTATATTGTGCATGTTTCAGTGTGGTTGCTTGGTTCGTGTTTTAGTGAAGTGATGCATGCCTTGAGATTGTATTGTTTTGTAGTTATTTTGGGTCTGTCCCATTACTTGTAACAGCTGTAACAATTATCACTAACTATCATCATCCACTGTTTCTGTTAACGGATATTATTCATGGATATACCGATATACCTGTCATATTCTTGCTTGTTGCATGTGTTTCCCGTTTGGCAGGGTCATTCATCAATGTGAGCGCCGTTTCAATCCAGGGAATGCCCTTTGCATAATCAACAAGCACCAATGCTTACCAGACTAGTGACTAGTCTCATGAACCAAGTAGTCCTCAAATCATTCTTTATTTGTTGTTTATGACTCATCGACCCTGGTAGTGCTGATATATTTCATAACATGGTCGACCACTAGGTGACCAGGCTGTCCAGGAAATGCCTTGACTTCAGGGGGCCAAGGGTCTATCGCCTTTGGACTTCTACCAGGGTCGAACGAGTCTCGTCCTCGTCATCCTCGGTCCTCAGGACGGCATCGTGCTGCTGCCGGTCGGTGTGAGGTAGCATCGCAGCGGTGCGCCGGCCGGTGTTTTCAAGGGAATTTCTGTTTGCAGGGATCGGAGATAGATACGACAGTAGACATGTTCTGGATGTCCTGGATGTTCGTCTTCAGGTTAACTCCTGCACTCAAGCCACAAGACCTCAGTTTGCTTGTAAAGAGGTTGACGATGAATGATGCTTTGGATAGGACTTGGGTCATTTGCCATTTGAGCGAGCAAACAGATCGGGGTTTATGGTTCATTGAGTGCATGTTTGCAGACCATTTGCTTTTATAGATCTTATGTGTGGATCGCTGTAGGAGCACAGTCGGATGTTTTCCATTTACCAGCAGGGGTTGAAGAGTGTCGTACAAGTGATTCAAGCCACACCGTTTTCTGGGTTCTCACTTGTTTGGAACTCTTTGGAATGGGGAATGCATTGAGAAAAGGATAGTTGATGACAGTTGAAAAGGCATTTGGACCCGCTGACACCCCAAAATAATGAACACAAATGAAATGGCCAGTTCTTGCAGTCCAATTCGAGCTGATCTGGCTAGTTGGTGGAAGAAATAGACCTTCTGACGCTCATGGACCCGAACATACGGAGGGGTCTGGGGAGCACCAATCTCGATCGGTTCTTGAGGAGTGTTTTCACGGAGTGTTTGGGTAGACGGAAGCAATCCCAGACACGACCCGTCTGGGACTGCCATAGGACTGCCGATCAGGCCAGGGGTGGTGCCAGAGGGGTCAATGTATGGAGCATATGCCACACATGGAGTGTCTGGGAATAAGACATCGATGGAGATCTATCATCGAAATTCGGTACTCGGCCAAGTCCAGGTGCATCGGGGGATCGGCGGTTTTTTCCTGGTCACACCGGTTCCCGCGTACGTCAGGCACTGAAAGCAAGGATCTCCTTGAGCTGCTCAATGGGAACTGTGTTGGCCGCCCTAAACAGCTCGCCATACTTCACCTCGGTTCTTCTAACAAAAAAACACAGCAGACACCATGCTCCTGCAGAGGGATTTCCTTTGAGAACGGCCACAGCCAATGCACGCTGGCGCGATGCTGGCAGACTGCGCCCCTGGGTGTGAAGAACAAAAAGGATGCAAGATGATGCAAGACTGATGTGTTTACCCTGGGAGTCCAAGACTATACAAAGATATATACAAAAGAATGTTCTGACTAGTTCAGGAATTGCCTTTACTTCAGTCGGTCAACAATTTGTCCAACTGGACTTCTAGGGGTTCTGCTCAACCTTTGCCAACGTCGTTTCTAGAGTCGTTTCTGTTTGGCCGGGCGAGAGCGGAGCCCATCCCGTCGCCACTTGGTCTCAAGCGGCACCTGCGCCGTCCGGGGCAGCAAGCTGAGGCGGCTGGGGCTGGGCTGGCTTAGCAGGTGCTTGTCGTTCTGGTCAGACTCCCGGGGGCTCCAATCACCTCCTCAGGTTCGGTGGTTAGACCCCCCTGACACAAACCCCCAACCATCAAACCTCAGGTAGTTGGAGCCCTAGGGGACTTGAGTGACTTGGTTGGTTGCTTTACCGACCCCTTCAGCTCAAAACAGGCTGCTGCACCTGTTTTTTTTTTCACTTCTTGGTGTCTTTCTCGGAGAGACACGGATCTCGCCACGGCCGCGAATCAGCATGATGACTGCTTTGCAACGAGACAACAAGCTCCACCTGGCAGTCGCGCTTGGACCCACCTGAATCGGGGTGCACCTTTCGGGTGTGATGAAAGACTTGGCGACTTCTTGATTGCTGCAATTCCATGCAACAAGAGACACCGGTAGAACACAGCTGCGGGGTGACTTAACAGCGGTTCCCTGTACCACGGGAAGAAGACATACCTGGACTAGCCCTGTTTGGGTGTCCTGGCTAGAGATATCGGTCGCGTCCGTCGTCCATGGGGTCCGTGCCCATACTCGTGCAGAGCGAGTGATCAGAGGTGTGCTTAAAATGGTGTGCTTTCAATCAAAAGGCTAAGTGGCATGCAAAGTGGCTCAGTGGTGTGCGGTGTTGGTATTTTGCGGCACCTGGGGCCGGGTTTTTACGACTTGGTCTACGTGCCTCGCTGTGACCGTGAGACTTCTCCTCATCCAGGCTTTACAGGCTTTGGCAGGGTCTATGTGAGTTTTTCGGGAGTGTAAACACTAAACCCTTTTTGGGGGGATCGACCTGGCAACCCTTTTTTGAGGGCCTTTGGTTTCCCCGAGTCTGACAAGAAGCGGTGGGAAAGAGGTGAAGCCTTTGTTTCCCAGGAAACTGAGGGAGTCAGAGCCGGGAGTCGCTGCGGTGGTGGTTGAGGATATCCTCCGTTGCGACAAGGGCGGATTCACGGCAGGGCCGGCTTTGGCCGCCGCAATGGCTCAAAGTTTCCCAAAGCCTTGCACTACCACCATTTGTCTCTCCTGGTAACAGTCATCGGCACTCAAGCCTTGCACAAACGAGAAAACTTTTTCAACACCTTTATCGATCGCAAGTCATCCACTTCCAGGCAAGGGCCAAACAGATGCATTGTTGGCTCTAAATTCCTGATGTCCCCGACACCATTTCCTGCACCTGCTGTAACCAATTGCCATGTCAAGCCTCTTCCAAAAGCTGCAGCTCAAGCCTGGCATGAGGCTCACGGTTTCAGGAGCTCCGTCGACGGACTACGCGGTGAGAACGGGCCGGATGTGTCAAGAGCCCTTCGCCGCATGCGACATGCGGCGCTCGGGTTTGGTGAAGCTGCCAATTTCTGCGCGCGAGTCGCGACATTGGGCCCTATAGGCCTATGGATCGACCCACCGTTTGAGAAGGTGAGGACGGAGACTATGTAGGCGCCAGGAGGGTCTAGTCGTACCTTCTTCTCTATGGAGGTGTCAGGTGAAGATGTTCCTCAGGCGTCCCCACGGCTCTGCGAATAGTGGGGGCCAGTGGCCCTCCTACCAACTGGTGTGACATGTCTTTCTTCAACTGTCGGAGAACTCATTCCAACAGACACATGTTTGTTTTTTTTTCTGGACAACCCCTGAATGGAGAAGGACTTCCATGTCTGCACATATTTGTCAGAAAGGGACGCAGAAGGAGGGTAGCATGGTGGTGCCTGACTGGTCATACATGCAGGAGCTCCCCCCAGAGATGGCCAAGATCAAGAATGAGCTCCTTGGTTTGGCCATAAAGACCTGTTGAGATCTTGTATATTTTGTTGACCACCGGCATGTCGCAGTCAGAACTGTATTATATCAGCCCATTAAAGCCAATTTCTGGGCTTTCAGATAGGGAACGCCAGGTTTTGGTAAGGGTATATCGAGACAAAGCAATATCCAAAATGCCAAGCAAATCTTCTGGGTCATTCCTCCATATAGCTCCCATGAAGGCTTACACGCAGTGCTGGCACATCGAAGTCAGAACTTCCCTCCGCTCAGCTTTACTTCGTGAAGAGCTGTGCGCAGATTAAGAAGCTTCTTGACTGATCTTGGCTGCAGGATGTTTCTGCGTGAGCATGTGGCACCAAACGATGTCTGAGACGTAGGGGGTGTTACTAACTATATAGGATCAGGATAAGGGCCGGGACGCCTCACAGTTGCTGTCTCCTAACAAGCTTTATCAAGCAGTTCCATCAAGAAAACAGGGTGCTATCCATGGAGGAAGGAGTTTTTTTCGCGCCCAGAGCGTCACATCTACTCGCATCCACTGTGACATCCACTACCACCCAACTCTATGTGACCCCTGGGATGGGCTTTAGGCCCGGTCCATATCCCCAGGTGACCGGTGGTCTTCAACCCCCCCTGGCACCCACCATAACCAACCATCTTACCGAAACGGAGGGGGGGGGGGGTGAGGAGCACCCAAACGGGTATGTTTGTCATAGGCAGATGTGTGGCAGCTGTGCCTTTCAGCCGAGACCACCAGCCAAGCATGGGTGTTGGCTCCACGGCTTAATTTGAACCAGATCAAAGCTGTGGTTTTTGGCTGTGTGTGTGTTGCTTATTGAAGGGCGATGCTTCTTTTCCGCAAATGGGGTTTAAATCCTCAGGTTTGATTCTTTCACACCGGCTTCGCGGTGTCCCAAACCAGCAAATTCATATGAACCCCTCCCACCCCCTCTCTGGATGAGTGCTTCACATCTCATGGGTCGACCCTGTCGCCCTCACACTCAGACTGGCGCCCTCGGCCGCGAAGAAGGCTGGCAGCGAGGGGCTGCTGTGGATCGCCTATCCCAAGACGCTGGGAGGGTCCACAGGGGGGATGGGTCCAAACTTGGAACCCCTGGCCACCATGTAATTAGCTGCGTACGCAGCGAATTGACCTATATATGGGGCACGTCGGTAGGTCAGCCAAGGCTATCCTGGCAACATGACCCACTGCCATGGTCATTGCTATAGCTAGCTAGCTGATGATTCCAGAACCTTCACATCAACAGCAGTAACCACTGCTATCAAGCGACTTCCTTTTTCCGCTCTGCTATGTAAGGTACACTTGGGACCAGAAATATTTGCTTAAAACTGATCTTTAAAACACCCGAACTGATGGGTAAGTATATGCCAGTCTCATGGAATGTTTGGGTATTAGGAACTGGGCCACTTTCACCTTCCACGCTTGAGGAAGTCTTCCAAGAAGTACCAATCCGACGTGGGCCGCGACGACAGCTTCAGCGCTTTTGGAAAGCTGAGCTACGAGAAGGTCGAAAAACCTTTAGAGAGTTGGACCGCTTCGAGTACTGAAGCTTGTGTTTGAACGGTCCGGACGCTCATCTCCCTGGAAATGGGGTGGGGCCCCGGGGATTGAACCAAGGGCCCCTGGGGATCGAGACTAAGAGTACCCAAAACACATGGAAGTGAATGGCAGGGTGCCAAGCCTCAAGTGCTCCCAAGTCGTCGAGCACGGAAACAGATGGAAGTGAACGGCATGGGCTGAATTTATATATTTGACTTTCCCAAGCTCCAAGTGCTGCCTGCACTCCAGCCTGCAGAGTTGCATTGAGTCACTTGTTACCCTGGGTTAGTCAACTTAAGCCCTACGGGATTTGGTATATGGTGAAAAAAGACCACAGCTTTGTGGTTCCTGTCAACTCTCACGTTCTACCTCCCAGTACCCAAGA